CGTGCGCGGCGGCGGCGAGATGGGGCGTGCGTGGCACGAGGCGGGGCGGCGCGAGCGCAAGCCCACGACGTTCACCGACGTGGTCGCGTGCGCGCGCACGCTGGTCGCTTCGGGCCTCGTCCGTGCGGATTCGCTGGCGCTCGAGGGGCGGTCGGCGGGAGGGCTGCTGGTGGGGGCGACCCTCAATCGCGCTCCGGAGCTCTTTGCATGCGCGCTCGCGTCGGTTCCCTTCCTCGATGCCGCGGGCACGCTGCAGGACGGCGCGCTCCCGCTCACGGCTAACGAGTGGGAGGAGTTTGGTAACCCCAACGAGGTAGGCGGCCACGCGGCCGTCCTCGGATTCTCGCCCGTGCACAACGTCGTGCCGCGCGCGCGCTACCCTGCATGCTTGTTGCTGCCGGCCCTCAACGACGCGCGCACGGGATTTTGGGAGGCCCACAAGTTTGCGATTGCGATCCGCTCCAACGGCGCTGGCGTCGAGGGCGGCGCGGCGGCGGAGAAGGAGGAGAAGGAGGATGCGGCGGGGGCGGGCGTGGCAGCGCCGCGACCCGTCCTGGTGAGCACGGACGAATTCGGCGGGCACTTCCGGCCTGCGGACCCGGAGGAGCGGGCGAGGCAGCGCGCCAAGGAGCTCGCGTTCATCGTGTGCAGCCTAGTGGGACCGCCGCGTAGGCCGGCGGCTGGGTCGGCATGAAGAAATTGTAAAAAACGAAGTCCCTTGCTCAACATTGGGCACGGGACACTGGCACATACACTGGTACTAACACAGTACACTGGCACTAACGCAAAAAAATGCGTGAGAAAAGGGGTTGTGTACGTACTTTTAGCTTACTGGGAGAAAAGAGAGGAGAAATCTACGCGCGGCGTGAGAGCTCGGAAGCTCTCTTGTGTATATGGCTGTCGACCCCGCTTCACACTACTCCTCTCGGCTCGTCCTCCTCTCCTCTCCCGCCGGCCAGCGGCTGGCGGCCTCCCTCACTGTCACAGGCGGCTCGCGGCTCCGCACGCTCCTCTCTCTCTTCGAGGCGCAAGAGGAGCAGAGCTGGTGTGGCTACGCTGCCCTCCGGGTGGCACTTCGCGCGTGCGGCGCCGCGGCTGTGCTCAGCCAGAGCGAGCTGCACGGGCTACGCAGCACCTTGGCAGAACAGGAGGCGGAGGCCGTGCGCGGCGGCGCGAGCAGCCTCGCCGGTGGCGGGCTCTCCATCGCTCAGCTGGCGCGCTTGGCACGGCCCTTGCTGGAGGCCAGCGCACTCAACCTGGAGCAGCAGCACGGCGACCCGGCGAGCCCGCCCGCCTTTGGCTCGCAGCTCGCAGCCGCCGTGTCTCACGCCTCCGACAGCGACAGCGGGTCGATCGTCCTGCTCAACTTTCTCCGACAGCTGGACGGGTGGAGGGGCGGCCACTGGGTGGTTGCGGGCGGGCTCGCTCACGACGCGGAGGGCACGGCCTTCGTGTTGCTGCTCGACGTGGCCGCCCACCGCATTGGGCCTCACTGGCTTCCGCTAGGCCTGCTGGCCGCTCTCTGCTCGACCGTCAACGTGCACGGCGTCCCACGCGGCTTTGTGAGGATCTGCTCGCGTGGCAGCGGCGCGAGCGGGGATGGCGCGGTGCCTCTTGTCCCGAAACAAGACAGTGCCTCTCACTGCTAACCCTTCTTGGCCGCATGTGACCGGCGTACGGCTCTAATCCGTAGAGAGATATGCATCGTGGCATTTCGTCCGCAATGGCCTTCCGCAAAATGGCAAAAAAGGACCTCTCGCGCTCGGTCTAGTTCCGCGGGCCGCTCTCTCTCTACTCTCTCTCTCTCCACTTTTTTAAGTCTTATTCCAAAAGTGCCAACTCCAAAGATCCAGATCCCAGTACAAAGAGACGGCACTGCGTCCTGTATGATCGTGCACGTGGACGCCCCGTGTGTGTTCTGTCTTCTGACCTTCTGTGTAAAATTCTCTGACGTTCGCCACACGGGCCACGGCGGTTGTATTATGCCACCTGGACCGCTGGTTCTAAATAAGTAAATAAAAACCGACACCTCTACTGTGAGATGGGTAAGTCCTCAAAATCGTTTCATCAGAGCCGAAACGAAAAAGCAAAAAGGACCATCGATGTGGAAAGAAGCATGCGTTGTGCGGCGTGCACACTCACACTCACACTCCGCTGCACGCGTCCCAAGGCTGCGCCAGCTATAGTGCTCTCGATCCACCGGTTCACCACGTAGCACGACCTTCTCCATCGTAGCACCGGTTTATTGAATAAGCACTCAAGCGCTCGCGGTGAGGTCGTCCGCAAAGTAGAGGTGCAGCGTTGGCACGTAGAAATCGTCGGGAATGGAGAGAGAGTCAAAGGTGCGGTCCTCGTCCGGCACCCCGTTCGCCTCGAGCGTGCGCCTCATGTCGAGGAAGCGGCTGCCGCGTGCGTCTGTCCGCTTCCAGGCGTAGGAGCCCGAGTGCGCGTTGTGGTCGAGGTAACGCTGCTGGATCTCATCGAGCGTCTCCTCAGCGCACACCTCGAGCGCGGTCTCCTGTTGCGTTAGCATGTTCAGCAGCCGGACCGACCGCGTCTTGCGAGTGAGCGCGCCGACGACAAGGCTGTCGTCCAACCACCACGGCACCTCCGCCGCCGGATCAAACTCCGCACCAGAGCCCGCAGGCGGGCAGTGGATAAACCTCCCCAGTGGCACGAAGGGCGCCAGTGTGCCGGTCTTGGGGTCAATGTGCCGCCGCAGGCCATGCGTGGCTGGGTCAAACCAGTGCGTGATGTCAGTTCCCGCCGCCTCAATCAGAGGCTGGGCGAGCGGACCGGCGTGCAGGAACACCAGGTCGCTCAGGTCGACGACCTGCAATACACAGTGAGTGCGCTGCTCAGGCCGGCGCCAATCAGAGACCGATGTGTGCAGAGCGATGCGCCTTGTGGAAGAGAGATACCCACAGGTCGTCGGCACGGTCATGGGCCGCCACATCCGCGGGAGTGTAGTACTTTTTCCGCCGAGCGCCGCCCGAAAGCTGATGCCGCGCCTCGCGCCCCCTGTATACCGACTGCACCATTTTTGCAGACGTCGCTCGCACCTCCTGCTCCTTGCGCACCTGCCTACCCTTGATGTGCGCCTGGAGCGCCACGGCGCTGGCCTGCTCCGCATCCACCGTGCCGGCTGAACCGGCAGCACCTGGCGGATCCCAGCTGGTCTCGCCTGTGCTAGCATTCCTCCAATACGCCCGGCCCACCGTGTAGTTGTACTCTTGAACCCAGCTCGCCATGGTCGCACTCCGGAGCGTAACGAAGACGACGAAGGCAAGTGGGATGCAGTCGACGACCGTTTCGTCCACCCTTGCCCTTACCCCCCCCGCCACGCACCTTCGTGCCAACAATTCACCTACAATACCTAACCCTGCAACCGTAAATTAAACAAAACGCCAGATTCAAATCTCGGTGCATCGCTCATTGTTGGACGGTTCCCTGCGAAATCACCGGAAAGCAAAGTGACGAAGTCCGCGATCGGTGCGACTGGACGAGTGCGACTGGACGACAGGGGGGAGCCGCGGGAGCCTACCTCTTGAGGTCCCGGAGTGGGCGAGCGGCCCGCCCTGACCGCACAATGGCTTCCATCGTTCGCGAGGCCCACGTCCTCGCGTGCGCGCCCGCGATGCTGCGCGAGGTGCCGTTGCCGCCGGACGAGGACGCTGGACAGGAGTGGAGCTCGCTGGTCTGGGGGAGCCCGGCCCTGCTGGATGGGGAGGCAGAGCTTTTGTGCGCGCCAATGTCCGAGCAGGAGGACGAGGCAGGATGGAGTGAGGTGTTTGAGGCGCCGGATATCGACCCCGGGCCAGCACCAGTTCCAGTGCTGTGCAATGAGATAGCTGTGCTCGAGCTCGATCAGGCCAAGCTCCGACAGCGGCTGCAGGTGCTGCAGGCACAGCACGCATCGGCCATGCGAGAGCACGCGAGGGTCAAGGCGGAGCACGCGAAGGAGAAGGCCCTCCTCTGCAACGAACTCCGGGTGCTGGCCGAGTACGCCTTCGCCAGCCAGCCATCCGCGTCGCCGAGCAGAGCGGCCACGCGCTACCAGTCGCGTCCGCAATGCCCCAGCAACAAGCCCGACTCGGAGGAGATGGGCTGCCGGCGGCAGGCGCAGGGGACGCTGAGGGCAGGCGGGGCGAGGCTGTACGTTACTACCTCGCCGCCGGCGGGAGGGTTCTGTGATACATTTGTCTGTTTCCAGATGTGGTCCTGCGTGCGCACGTTGTCGCCCTGCTAAACGCAGTTGCCAGGTGTCTCTGAAAGGCCGCATCTCATTTTGTACGGGAAATGTCGTTTCTTTACGGGCTGTGCGCTCGGCACCAACACTCCGCCGCCACCGCGCACGAACAGCACGCGCTGCTGGCGACGGAAAACTTTGCACACACCTTCCGCCGCGCGCGCGCGCACGGGTCCACCGCGATGCGCGCGAACTGCCACCAGACCAGCCTGCCAGACCACCTCGCTCGCTCTCTCTCGCACAGCAGAGAGGGAGAGCCTGCCGATCGATCCGTCATCCGGAGCCAGGGCGGAGCATCCAGCAGACTGGCAGCATGACCGCCCATTTCGTCGTGGCGGCGGCGGCGGCGGCGACGATGAGCCAGTCGGGCGCCGCGTCGAGGGACGGTGCGGCCGCGGCGTGCATGTGAAGCGCATTCTCGACGATGTCACAGCACGCGCCGAACGTTGCGAGCGCCTGCAGCCGGCGCCGGATTTTCCCGGCCGGCAGCAGCGCCGCGGCGCGGTGCACCAGCAGCGCCCCGTAAAGAACCGGATACCACGCGTCGAGGAGAAAGTGCGCCCGGAAGTGCCAGAGCTCGCCGCCGGGCCGCCAGCCAGCGACGGCCGCGCGGAAGCGCGACGGCGAGAAGCAGAGCTGCAGCCGGAGCAGGTCCGGCCCGACCGGGCCGAGCAGCAGTAGGATGCCGGCCTGGGTGGCGCAGCACGCGGCAAAGAGCCGGCGGGGCTGCGCGGCCAGCACATCCTCAGTGCGGAGCAGCGGCGGGCGCGACGCCGACGCGAGGAGGGGGGCGACGCGCGGTGCGACGGCGGCGGCGAGCTGCAGCCGGTCGATCTTCGAGTTGTGCCGCAGGTCCATCGGCAGCGAGGGCAGCGGGAGGACCAGCTGGACAACCCCCTCCCACCGCGTCCCCGCCGCTCGCGCGAGCAGCTTCTGCGCGCGGTCCTCGCCCCACGGGCCGTAACGCGGCTCGTAGTCCGCCGCGAGTACCACGCACAGGACGGGAGCGACCTCGGTGCCGCGGCCTCCACCCTCACCGCCGCCCGCATCCCTGCCTCCGCCGCCACCGCGCGGGCTGCCGATGCCGACGAGCGCCGCAGCCTCGACGCCCGGCTCGTCGAGGAAGAGCAGCTCCGCGCACAGCGGCAAGACAAGCCCGTGCTGCGGCGTGCGAAAAGCGTGCGAGAGGCGGCCGCAGAACCAGAGCCGGCCGGCCGCGTCGACGTAGCCGAGATCGCCCATGCGGTGCCACAGCGCCGCCTCGTCCCCGCCGCCGGCCGCTCCCAAGTAGCGTGCCACCAGCGGGCCGGCGACACACAGCTCGCCGAGCTCGCCGGCGGGAAGCTCCTGTGTGCAGGACTCGCCGGCGTCAGGGGGGCGGGGAACGCAGTGGCGGCGCCCTCGCCGCAGGGAGTCGCCTCCGCCTCCGCCTCCGACGGCCCTGCGGCCGTTCGCACCACGCGCACCTTTGCGCCGGGTGCGACGTGGCCCACGCAGAGGCCGTGGCCGCGGCGCGCCCGTCCCGCAACCTCGGCGGAGAGGGCTTCGGCGGCGGTGAGGGTGGCGACAGGCAATGCCTCCGTCGCGCCGTAGCCGACGAGCAGCGGCGGAGCGGTGGGCAGCGCCGCGCGAAGCCGCTCGAGCATCGCCGGACTGACGGCCGCCTAGAGCGCGAGCGGTCGGTCTCGCGCGGGCGGGATGCGCTCGCGCAGCGCTGCGGTCGGCGGCGCCGAGGTGGTGATGAGCAGCTGCACCCCGGGCGGCAGCGAGAGGGCCTCGCCGCGCGCCTCAGCCAGCCGCGCCACCTTGCCCCACACGGCGACCGAGGCGGAGACGGCGGCAGGCTTGAGCGCCGCGACGGCAGCCAGCAGCGCTTCGGCCGAGGCGGCCGCTGGCCGGGTGACGGGGACGTGCGGGAAGGCGACGCTCAGGCCTGCGGGGCGGCGGTCGAGGGGAGATAGGCGTGCGCCGAATACGGACGCCGCCACGGTCAAGGGGTCCGGCGCCGCGCCTGCGAGCAGCCAGAGCATCGTGTACTGCAGCAGCGTCTCGACGATCAGCGCGCCGCGCCCGAGGCCGCCGTCGGCCGCGGCCGCGTCCACCTCTGCACGGATGCCGGCGAGGCGCGCGCGCAGCCCGCGGTGGGTCATCACCACGCCCTTGGGCGGGCCGGTGGAGCCCGACGTGAAGACGATCGCCGCCGCCGTGTCGGCGGCGACGGGCGCGCTCCGGACGGCGACGCGGCGGGCGGCGACGCGGCGGGCTCCTTCTGCCTCGAAGGCACGGAGCGTCGGGCCGACACCGACGCCGAGGGCGCCGTCCACGAGGCGGAGCCCGACGCTGCCGCGCGCGGCCGCGACGGCCGCGAAGAGCCCGAGGTGAACCGGGAGCGGTGCGGCGACCACCGCCGGCGCCACCCGCCGCACCGCGGCCGCCACGCTGACGAGCCGCATCGACGGGTCGACAAAGACCGGGACGAGGGCGGCGCGGATGGCGCCGAGCACGAGCGGGAAGAGGGTGGCGCACGGCCGCATGAGAAGCTGCACGCGCGCGCCTGCGGCCAGCTGTCGCGAGGAAAAGGCGGCGCAGAAGGCTGCGGTGCGCGCCTCGACCTCGGCGTAGGTGAGCGGCTCCCAGCCGCCACCGCCAGCAGGCCAGAGGAGCGCGATCGTGTCCGGCTGCGAGCGAGCGTGCTCGACGAGGAGTGAGGTGATGTCCGCGTCGTCCGGCATCGAAGAGGAAGGCAAAGACATAGGATTCCTAGACATCTTCTTTGCGCTGTCACGCACACGACTTCACACTTGAGCACTTGAGCACTTGATAGGGTCGATCCCGCATGGTACGGGACCACTTCACACTTGTTGTTGAGAAGAAAATACGTGCTATGGCGCTGTGCGCTGGTCTGTGAGAGGTTGAGGTGCGAGCCCTGCCTGGAGGCCCTGGGGATGGGGGAAGACTACAGATGATACTCGAGTAGATCTAGGTTGATACTAGGTTGATAAGAATTTTACAACAACAGGCGGTCGCACAGCACGATTGACGCAAGACAAGGCGCGGGCGACGGATTCCTCAGAAGCCGGAAGCCGTCGCCCCACCACAGGAGCAGTCACACGACGCGGCATCCCTTCTTTCTCTCTCTCTCTTAGCGAGGCGAATGACATTTTTGACACCCTCGACGACCATCTCGGCTACGGTTCCGACTCCGGCTTCGGCTGCACAAGCTGCCGAGCCCAAAAGTCACACTGATCACTGTCAGTGTCAAATAAATAAATAAAACGGACACCTCTACTGTGAGATGGGTAAAAAGGAACAGGTCCCCGCCCTTGCGATCTTTGTGCAGGGTTCTTTGTGGGTGTGGTCGGCGACTAGCCGGGGTCGTCCTCCCGATGGGGGACTAGCACTAGCCGTCTTCCACATGGACCCTCGGGTCCCTGCTGCTCCTAATCTCTTCGTACATCCTCCTGCTGATCTCCGCAACGTCCTGCTCCCTCCCTCGACTCGCCCTGCGCGACTGATCCGCTCACCGCTTCGTCTGCCCTGCGTCGTCTGGTGACGGGTCCTCCATAGTCGGTTGAGGTCGCCGCCCTCCTCGAGTGCCAAAATTCTTGTTGGCTTCTAAAAATCTCTCTCTCTCTCTCTTTCCCCGCCCGCAAGGAAGGCGCGAGCGAGACACACGACTCCCACTCCGGCGGCCGCCCCACCCCCCCCCACCCCGCCCGACAGCCCCACCCCACAACCCCGACCCACCCCGACCCAAGCAACCCCGCCCCAACCCGACCCGACCCGACCCACCCCCAAAGCGCACCCTTTTTAAGCCTAGGGCTGGCCTGTGCCTGCCTAGCTAGCGCCACTGCGAATGAGCGAACGAAAGCAAGCAAGGGAAAGCGGCCGATAGAAATCAAGAACACGCAGTGTCTCACCTGGACAAGACTCAAGAGCAAGCGAGACAGATTTTTTAGCAATACCAAAAACGATTAGACGGGTGCTGCCGGAGGCTTTGAGGCCGCCGCCGCGCGGGTTGCTTACCCACAGCAAGCGGCACGCGGGATTTTTTCGGGGTTTTTCGAGGCGGACGCTGCCCGAAAATCAATTTCGCGAATTTTTGCACAAATTTTTTTTTGGTGCAGGCCCTCTTTCAGGTCCATTTCTGGACCTCCAATAACACATTCACAAGCGTCCCAGGGCGATTTCCGTTTTTCTTCTTTTTCGGCGAAAACGCCTCGCAAGCGGCCGTTTGTGGGGGGTTTTCGCGAAAATCGGCCTAAAAAAGGCCGGGAACGCCGCGGTAACCGTTTGTGAGGCGTCCTGAGTCGGCCTGAAAGCGGCTCTGGCCGAGAGCACAGCGGCGATTTTCTTCTTTTTACGAAATCCGCACTCTGGGCTCCATCGCCTCGCAAGCGATTTTATTGTTTTTTGTCACACTCACTTGACACTGTGCAGGGGAAGATGCAGCGGCGCGAAACGTGGGGCCTGGGCGCGCCCGAGCCGCACGCCACCGCCGCGTGCTCGGGGCTCTCCCGTCGTCTCCGTCGCCAGCTAGAGGTAGAGCGGATTCGACTCATCAATCTCACACGTACGTGGCTCTTGCTCCTCACACCACTGCCGCCAGCCCGCCAGAGCAGTTCACTTGACACTCTCGCGCGCGCACCTCTCGTCATACATTGCGCCTTGGTTGTCGGCCTCGCGTCACTCAGGCGCAGGCGGGAACGCGATAAGCAGCAGCAGCAGCAGCAGCTCGGCGAGGGAGACTTGCATCGTCCAAGGCCGGCCCGCCAGTCGCCGTGACGTCTGCTGCGGCAGCGATGTGAAGTGCAGGCTGGTGCTCTCGATGTGGACACGCGGCAGAAGGGCGGCGCACACGGCGCGCACAGGATAGACCGCCAACGCTGCCCAACGCGTCATGCCCTCCACCTCCCAGCGGCCACGGCGGTGCGGGGGCGCGGCATCGCGCGGCACGCCCTCCTTCCCGCCGCCGCCGCCGCCGCCGCCGCCGCCGCCGCCGCCGCCGCCGCCGCCGCCGCCGCGCTGGTACCTCGAGTGAGCAGAGCTGTCGTACTCCTCGATCAGCCTGGAGAGCTTGGGCACGGCGGCGGCCGCGGCGGCCGCAGATGCAGCGGCGGAGCGCTTGGCGCCGTGAGAAGAGAGGCGCAGGCACAGGCGGCTCACTTCGCAGTCGACGGAGAAGGGGCAGATCCGCAGGCGATCGCAGGAGGCATGCTCGATGTGGAAGGGGAGGTGTATGTCCGCCTCGCCCGCGCCACTCAGCAGCATCGAGAAGAGCCGAGGCTGGAAGCTGACGCCCGTCAGCGTCACGTGAGCCATGTCGTCGATGACGATGTGCTCCGCCGCGAGCAGCGGGCTCAAAGCCCACAGCACGAAGCGCTCGGGCACGGCAGCGACCGGCCCGCATCGCGGCGACAGAGGCGCCTCCTTCTCCGTCAGCGGCGCCTCTGCCGTGATGCTGTCTTGCGTCGACGACGCAGCCGCCGAGGCTGCGGCCCGCCGCTTATTGACGTAGTGATACGGGTTGGGGATGCCGAACCTCTTGTGCACCGTGTACTTCTTCTGCGGCGCGTTAACGGCGAGCGCACGCATGCGGAGCGGAGCCGAGTGCCGGGGCGGCGCGATGCTAAAAGAGCAAGGGACTGCAGATATCGTCCTTTGCGTGACACGATAGATGGGCCAGATGAGAGGGGAAGGGGGGAGGGAGGGAGAGGGTGTCGGGGCGCGCGTTGGTGGCGAACATGAGGCTGCCGATGAGGCACTGGCAGCGCTGGAGGAGCTGCGGGTCGGGCACGGTCTTCTTCTCGGCTGCGCTGATGACGATGGACGGGAGGTCCTTGTCCGCGGGCACCTTGTAGCCCGCGTGCGTGACGCCTGACGGGAAGAAGCGCGCGCGCAGCGTGTCGATGTACTTGCTGGCAGACAGCTTGAAACCGGTCTGCGTCTTGGTGATGTTGAGCCCGAGGAACTCGTGCACCTTTCCCTCGTGGACCTTGAGCGGCTTGCCGACGTGCTTGTTGAAGTGCTCGATGTACTCGTGCGCGAGCGCCCTGCCAGCGGTGGTCCCGGAGTGGAAGATGCCGAAGTCGTCCACGTAGATGACGACGATGAGTTTCGTGCTGTTGCGGGTGAGGACGAAGCAGCTCGGGTCCGCCTCGGACTGAACGAGCCCAGGAAACGCCTTGTTGATGGACTTGACGTGGTTCCACCAAGCGTTACCTGCGGATGGTGCGCCGTAGAGGTTGCCGACCTCGCACACCATGTCCTTCTCCTCGCCGGTGATGGGGTCGATGTAGCAGTACTCGGGCTTGCCCTTGAGCCCCTTCGGCATCTCGCAGTACCAGGTCTCGCCCTCCCCGCGCTCCGCCCAGGTGTACGCCATGGGCTGGTCGCACGTGATGAGTTCCATGTCCTCCTGCGCGGCCACGTTGAGCACGGTGCGGGTCGTGCCGTAGCGGACGACGCTCGCGAAGGTTTTGGTGAAGTCGACGCCGGGCCGCATCAGGTTGCCCATGACACAGCCGCGCCACTTGCACCGGCCGTCGGACTTCCGGGAGGCGATCTCCTTCAGCGGGAGGACGCGCACCTTGGCGGGGCGGCGCATGGGCTTGAGCGTGCCGTTCTGGATGAGGCCGAGGAACTCGGTGTCATACGCCTTGTACCACGCGTCGCGCAGCTTGCGGTCGCGGATGTTGGCGATGTCCTTGTAGTGCTTGGGCACGATGTTGTCCGGCATGGGCATGATCTGGCCGTCCACGCTCGACATGTACGCGACGCACTGGTCCGTGGTGTTGCGGTAGACCGACGACGATGGGGATGCGGCCGCCGCAGCCGCCCAGATGCCGAAGGGCGTGGCATTGGCGGCGAGGCGGGCGTTGAGCATGTTGTTGTACTCGCCCGTCGAGACGCCGCCGCGGCTGCGGGTGGTGCGCGGCGCAGGCGCACCCGCTGCGGGCGGGTTGACGTTGCCGTCGTTGGCCGGGTCTGGCATGATCACCACCTCCTCGTCGAGGGTCAGCCCCCCGGCGTGGTTGTCGGTGGTGGGGAGGAAGACGGAGTCGCCGCGGGTCACGTTGTTGTCGAGCGTAGCCTTGTCCGACTCGTCGGGCGTCTCGTCCGCGGTCACAGGCTCCGGCCACGCGCCCTCGATGTCCGTCGGGGTGAGGTCGGAGGTAGGAGCACGGTACTCGATGCCGTTCCAGAGCTCGTTGACGCAGAATGTCGCCTGCGTGGTGGTGCCGATGTGCCCCTTGCGCGGACCCTCGGTGATGACGTACTTCCAGCCGGGCGAAGTGCGCGAGATGCCGAGGAAGGCCGCCATCTCGCCCGTGGGTGAGACACCGTTCGCCACAAGGTGGGAGGGCGACTTGACGATCATCTTGCACGCCCACGGGTAGAACATGTTCATCTTGGGGCGCTGCCCGGTCTTGAGCTCGTACGCTGACTTGCCGGTGTCGCGCACGGCGAAGGTGGCGTTGGCGATGGTGGCCGCGTACACCCAGGCGTAGCCCCAGTACTGGTAGAGCTGGGCGGCGCCATGCCCCCCTGCGCGTGCCATCATCTCCCGCACGATCCTGCCGCAGGTAGCGTTCGCACGCTCGCACGCCCCATTCTGCCACGGCTCGTAGGGGCAGCTGTTGCGGAGGGTGATGCCGTACTTGAGGCAGAGCTCGCGCACGGCGCTGGAGTTGAGGACGACCTCGTTGTCGCAGAACGCAACTCCTCCGCGGAACGTGTGGCCGTCCTTTCCCTCGTTCTCGGCGAAGTACTTGCGCAGGTAGGCAGGCGTCTGGCCCTTGGTCTGCAGGATGTACGGCGTGATGGTGCTGGTGTGCTCGTCGACGACCATGAGTGCGTAGCAGTGCCCATCGACGCCTACCACACCCTTGGGCGACCAGAGGTCGTAGTGCGACGAGCCCCCGAAGCGAGTGGCCAGTGGCCGGCCGGTGCTGCGCCGCGCGTGGTACTTGGCGTTCGCCTGCAGCGCGGCGTCGTCGAGGCCCTCGTTGCGGTCCATCTTGGAGAGGTCTGGCACGCCGTCCGCGATCTTGCTGAGGTCCTTTAGCGCGTCGCCGGAGATGCACAGGGCGTGCCGCCAGAAGGTGCCATCCGTCGGGCGCCGCCCCGGCTTGCCGCGCACGATGGCCTTGGCGGCGTTGGCGCCGACGGATGCGCCGAGCGGCATCAGGTGGATGTTGAAGTCCTCCCCGAAGTAGATGGTCTGCCCGGAGGGGTAGTTGAAGCGTGGTGGGCAGAGGTCGAAGCGGACCACGATGTTCTGCGCCTTGCACTCCTTGACGCTGACGAGAGGCATGGCGAGTCCGGGCGCGTACAGCGCGTTCACCCACTCGGTGTTTACAACCTTGGTGTCCTGCGGCTTGGTCGGGTCAGCCAGCGCGAAGGCGTACGCGGTGCCGACGCCCTTCGCCTTGAGGTAGTCGTTGTTTGCGCAGCGGATGTAGATGGGCTTCTCGGGCTCGCGCCACCCGTGAGGGAAGTAGTCGGGCGTCGGGAACATGTTCATGCCCGCCTTGGAGTCGACGCCAGCGGCATACGATCCCGGCATGTTCACACCGGCGGTCGTGTCGTACGCGTCGACGACCTTGACATGCCCGACAAGCGCGTGTGCCTGCATCGCGTCCATGCGCGCCACGTACATGGCGAGCATGATGCACGTGTACGAGAGGACGAGCGGGACCGTCTTGGGCACGTCGATGTCATTCACCGCGCGGAACATGTCGCCCGCGACCTTGCGGTAGATCGGCTGGAGCGGGTCCTCCTCGATGGCGTACTCTGCTCCGCCACCTGAGCCAGTCGCCGGCCCGGTGGACAGCTCGAGGGGTAGTGCGGTGACGGACTCGACCATCACGCCCATGTTCGAGGGCTCGTCCACGGCGTCGACCACAGGCGTGCCGATCGAGGCAGGCGAGCCCATGTAGACCGGGATGAGGCACGCGAGCAGGACGAGTAGGATGGAAGCGCCGATGTACGGGCGAGGCAGCGCGGTGACGAACGAGGTGAACTTGACCCACAGCCCGCCGCGCGCCCGTGCCTCCGCCGCATTGCGCGCCGCCGTCTTGGCCTTGAGGATGGCGGGCGTGTCGGTGGGGTTGGAGTCGGGGAAGGTGTCCTCGACCTGGTCGGTGCCGACGCCAGCGACAAAGCCGCCGACGATGCCGTCCGGGTCGAACGTGCGGGTGACAGAGTCGGCCAGCGCCGCCCGCACCTCCTCGTGGTCGGTCGCGGTGGAGTCCGACTTCTTGAAGGGGTCGTGCGGGAGGGTGCGGCCGGGGGACTTGGCGCACACCTTCTTGTACGAGGACTGGGCCATGCGCACCTTCGTCTCGTGGTCGATGCGGTCGGGGAGTTCCTCGAGCACCTTGGCGACAGGGACCCCCTTGCAGATGAGGTCGCCGATGCACTTGCCACCGTGCAACCCATTGCAGTGGGGGCACGGCTTGCGCCCAGCGGCTGCGCGGCCGCCGCGGTCCCCGCCGCCCTTGTCGGACTTGATCTGCGCCTGGAGAGCGGCGACCTGGGACTCGGCGGCCGCGAGCTTCTCCTTGAGCACGCCTTGCGAGGCAATCTCCGCCTCGAACGCCGCCTGCGCAGCCGCCTTGGCCTCGTTGGCGCGGTCCGCGTTGTCTTGGTCGAGGATGCCCTGCATCGCGAGCGTGGACGCCTTGAGGCCGTACGTCTTGCCCGATTGCGCGGCGAGTTGGCGCTGCATGCCGATCTGCACGCGCATGTTTGCGCCGAGCGTGGCCCCCTTGGCGGCGATCGCGTCGAGGATGTATTCCTCGATCACCTCGTCGGGGAGGTGCCACTGGGAGTCCTTGAGCAACTTGTTCGCCAGCTCGATGCCCGTCTTGAACTTGGCGAGGCTCGCGGACGTGAGGTCCTTGAGAGCGTCGGGGGAGTACGCCTTCTCGAGATCCGCGCGCAGCGCCTTCGTGCGCACGTTCTTGGAGTTCGTGTCCTCCGACTCGATGAGCGACTTGATCGCCGCGATGCCCTTCTTGATGTCGTCGTAGTGGTCGGCGTCCTCGTCCGCCAACATCTCGGCGAGCGTGTCGTCGTCCTTGACGGCGTTCTGCAGCGCACCGTAGAGTTGGCGCGACAGAGTCACCGACAGGTCCTTGAAGAACTTGTCGATCATGGCCGGGATGAGGCCGTCCGCAGTGCCGATGTTCTTGTAGCGCACGTGCAGCGCGACCGCCTCGGCCTCGCGCTCCGCGCCCGGCCGGATGGTGCCCACCTCGATGATGTCGAGGAGGTACTTGTGTTGCTTCGCCGCGGTCCGCAGGTTGCGGAACCACTCGTTGAACTCCCGCTCGGAGCTCTGTTTGTAGGCCGGAATCACCAGCTTGTCCGTCGACGACATGTTGTCGTAATGTCCCGGGGATCGTTGCCCCGCCGCTACCAACTGTGAAGGTCTTCAGTGACCACTCACAAGCTGTTCCAAGGCCCGACAGAAATGTACTGTCAAAACTTTGTTCAAACAAAAGTACTGGCCCGCGGCCCCCACACCCACAATGACTATCAATCCAGGCTGCGGGTGAAGGGCAAAACCGCGCCGCTGCAGAACGGTTTTTGCAAAACCGCGCCGCAGCGGTACGAAACTGCGCAGATGCAGTCCAGGGGTGGTAAGGACACTATGTGTGTGTGTGTGGCCGTAGACTAGACGGCTGCGCGGTCGTCGGTCTTCAACAGATCGTCAAGTCGCCCCCCCACCTTGTGGCGAACGGTGTCTCACCCACGGGCGAGATGGCGGCCTTCCTCGGCATCTCGCGCACTTCGCCCGGCTGGAAGTACGTCATCACCGAGGGTCCGCGCAAGGGGCACATCGGCACCACCACGCAGGCGACCTTCTGCGTCAACGAGCTCTGGAACGGCATCGAGTACCGTGCTCCCACCTCCGACCTCACCCCGACGGACATCGAGGGCGCGTGGCCGGAGCCTGTGACCGCGGACGAGACGCCCGACGAGTCGGACAAGGCTACGCTCGACAACAACGTGACCCGCGGCGACTCCGTCTTCCTCCCCACCACCGACAACCACGCCGGGGGGCTGACCCTCGACGAGGAGGTGGTGATCATGCCAGACCCGGCCAACGACGGCAACGTCAACCCGCCCGCAGCGGGTGCGCCTGCGCCGCGCACCACCCGCAGCCGCGGCGGCGTCTCGACGGGCGAGTACAACAACATGCTCAACGCCCGCCTCGCCGCCAATGCCACGCCCTTCGGCATCTGGGCGGCTGCGGCGGCCGCATCCCCATCGTCGTCGGTCTACCGCAACACCACGGACCAGTGCGTCGCGTACATGTCGAGCGTGGACGGCCAGATCATGCCCATGCCGGACAACATCGTGCCCAAGCACTACAAGGACATCGCCAACATCCGCGACCCCAAGCTGCGCGACGCGTGGTACAAGGCGTATGACACCGAGTTCCTCGGCCTCATCCAGAACGGCACGCTCAAGCCCATGCGGCGCCCCGCCAAGGTGCGCGTCCTCCCGCTGAAGGAGATCGCCTCCCGGAAGTCCGACGGCCGGTGCAAGTGGCGCGGCTGTGTCATGGGCAACCTGATGCGGCCCGGCGTCGACTTCACCAAGACCTTCGCGAGCGTCGTCCGCTACGGCACGACCCGCACCGTGCTCAACGTGGCCGCGCAGGAGGACATGGAACTCATCACGTGCGACCAGCCCATGGCGTACACCTGGGCGGAGCGCGGGGAGGGCGAGACCTGGTACTGCGAGATGCCGAAGGGGCTCAAGGGCAAGCCCGAGTACTGCTACATCGATCCCATCACCGGCGAGGAGAAGGACATGGTGTGCGAGGTCGGCAATCTCTACGGCGCACCATCCGCAGGTAACGCTTGGTGGAACCACGTCAAGTCCATCAACAAGGCGTTTCCTGGGCTCGTTCAGTCCGAGGCGGACCCGAGCTGCTTCATCCTCACCCGCAACAGCACGAAACTCATCGTCGTCATCTACGTGGACGACTTCGGCATCTTCCACTCCGGGACCACCGCTGGCAAGGCGCTCGCGCACGAGTACATCGAGCACTTCAACAAGCACGTCGGCAAGCCGCTCAAGGTCCACGAGGGAAAGGTGCACGAGTTCCTCGGGCTCAACATCACCAAGACGCAGACCGGTTTCAAGCTGTGCACGAGGCGCATGCGTGCAGCGGCAGCGCGTGCGCCATGCGCTCGTCGCTCCACTCGCCCAGCAGCCGCCGCTTCGTCTCGTCGGAGACGTGCACGCAGCGCTGCAGCAGCGCCGCCGTCTCGTCCTCGGGCCGCTCCAGGTCCATGACGACGTTCGTCGAGGCGTGGAAGCGCGTCTCCAGGTCGATGGCCGCCTGCTCGGCCGCGGCGAGCTTGCCCTGGTCGACGCACATGCCGCACACCGCGTGCGCCGGGCAGCCGCACTGGCCGCGTTGTGGGCGCACGGTCTTGGCGACCGCCGGCGCTGCGCGCCGGTCGTGCTGCTCACGCTGCCGGCGGCGCTGGTCGCGCGCCTGCCGATCGCGCGTGTTCGCGGCGGCTGCATCTCTTGCTCGTTTCGCTCGCACCCGAGCGGCTGTCGCCAGGCGCTTCAGGTCGGCGGTGCTGCGCGCGCGGCCGTCGGCCAGGCACAGCCACATGTCCTCCTCCTTAGCAGGCTCGCACGGCTTGCCGTCGAACTGCGGCTGGCGCCCGCGACGATGCTTCGCCCAGGCCGGGCACGATGGTGCCGCGACGAGCGGCGTCGAGGCGACGGCCATCGATGGGTCCAGAAGACTTGGAGACACTTCTACCAAAAAATCGAGCACAATTGCGTTACATGGGCATGGCCGGGGTTTCTGCACCGAACGATCTTACTTTCGGTCTATCGAAAGTGTTGATCGATAAACAAGGTCTGTGAAATGGGCCGTGCCGTCTCTTCGGCCGAAGGGACTCTGATTGCGCAGGCATGACCCGCGCCTTTGGCGTCCGCTCCGACTCCGCGACGTGGCCGCTGCCGACCATCGCCTTCCTGGGCGGCACGGGTCGGATGGGCGTCCACCTCTGCGCGGCGTGGGCGAGCGCGGGCTACGAGGTGACGATGTGCAGTCGTGCCAAGGAGAAGGCGCAGGCGATCGTGGACTCGCTGCTGAGCGGCGCGGGCTACCAGGAGAAGGCGAGCAGCGGCAGCGTCGGCGAGATTTGCGTGCCGCCTTGCCCGGCGGAGGGGTGGAAGCTCAAGGCCGGCACAAACACGGACGCCGCCGCGGCGGACATGATCGTGCTAGGGACTCGGTTCGACGCCGCGTGGCCGCTCCTCGAGGCCATCGCGCCGCAGATCCGCGGCCAGGGCAAGCTCATCCTGGATATCACCAACCCCCATCTCGCGTGGACGATGGGCGGCTCGAGCGGAAAGAAGGGCGCCGCCCTCCTTCCAAAGGATGGGCCCCAGAGCTCCATCGAGGTGCACAAGGCCAAGCTGGACGACCCGACGGCGAGGTGGGCGGCGGCGTACAAGACCGTCTACTGGAGCCTCATCCTTCCCACTGGCCCAAAGAACCCCGCCCGGCCAGGCGTCGAGGTGTTTGGCGATGAGGCGGCGCTCCCAGCGGTCTGTGAGCTCGTTGCGATGCACGGCTGGCAGCCGGTGGTCCGGGGCGGCTGCGACGTGGCGGCAGACTTCGAGGGCGGGACGATGAGCGTCAGCCGCTTTCTGGGCAACATGAAGCGCGAGATGTTTCAGGGGGAGAAGCTGAGCGTCGGGTGGTGACCGGCGGTTGCCTGGTGTTGTGCGCGTGGGTTCGCCGCGCGTTGTGGCTTGTGGCGGCACTCAGCCGGACGGGCCGGGACTCGGGGGCGCGCGTAGCGAGCACTCTCGGACTCTCGTGTTGTTGCGCCACAGTACGTTGTGTCAGTGCGAGATGTGTTCTAGAGTGACACCCAGCGAGGGGCAGACCTCTCGATGATGGACGAGCCATGGCGCGAGTTCACACACCATCCCAATATCAAACGCGCCATTAGCGCGCCAGCACGACTTATACGTCAATTACGCCACCCACGATAACACTTTCGATGTTTGTGAGTGTTCCGACACGGGCGTTGATCGAATCCCTTGTGCGACAAATCACGACTCCCCCACCGAGCCGCGCGCCGCGCTGCGCGCGCGCGCGGCTCACTCGCTACCACCGACACCCGTGCGTGTCTCACTATGTTCGCCGCTCTTACTCATGCAGATTAGATTGTGATGAAATCCGCATTGTCTAACCTACACGGGCACGTCTCGGGCCCCACATGTCGCATGTGGCGCGCGTAGCTCTGACAGGGACCGCGGCCGCGGATCCGGCCACCGTCGGGCCGCCGGGGATGCGCCGCGGACGGCCCTGGAATAGCAGCGATCGCGCGCACATGCAAGACTGTCTCATTGCCGCAAGGCTCGCAGGTGTGTGTCGCAGGTCAGGTATGAGTGCCCTGGCTACGGGACGGCGACCTTCGACCTGAAGGCCGAGAAGGCCGCGGGCGACCGCGAGCCGGTGCAGGCGGCGGAGCGCTCGTTCGTCGAGCGCACCGCGTCGCGGAAGGAGGAGCCGACGGAGGAGCAGAAGGATGCTCGGGCCGCGGCTCGCAGGGCCAAAAAGGCCCGGCAGAAGGCGAACAAGGTGGAGAAGAAGGCTGCGGCGGCGGCTGCGAGCGAGGCTGAGCGTGCGGACTACCCGCACGCGCAGCTACGCGAGAACGTCGAGTTCGTGATGGAGGGCCTGGAGGCTGCGACGCAGGCGGCGCGCAACCCAGCGGGGTCCAACATCCAGGATGGTCGCCTACTCGCTGCCTCCCGAGGGGGGTAGCGGGTTCGGCGACCTGGTGTACGCCACGGTCCCTCTGGGCTCCGTGGCGACGAAGGTCGCCCCCGGGACTGGCTCGCCAACGAGCTCCACGAGCCGTCCCGGCGCGGCAAAATTGATGCGGCCTGCAGGGACCGAAAGGTCGCCGACCTGATCACTGCTGCCGGCGCCTCGGCGCCGGCCGACGCCGTGTGTTCCCCACCCCCATGGAGGACCTCTGAGGTCCTCCCCAGTCTCACCCCACCTTACCTCTGCCCCCCCCTCCCCCCATCCCTCTGCCTCCCATAGGGCAGGATAGCACTAGCATATGCGCCTAGTGCGCACACTGGGCCCACATAGGTGTGACCCGCCCACTCGAGTGCGGCGCCCGGATGCTAGTGCTTGAGAAGACACCACAAACGCGGCACGGCCCGTTTTGGCTCTGGGCCGGCGCGGGGGCCCCAGAGGGTGTCCATTCCCATGGCCCGCCGCAGGCGCCGATTTTTTCGGATTTTTTAACGATTTTTACTTGTTTTCATGGGATTTCGGCGAACTTGCGGCCACTTGAGCACTTGAGCACCGGATAGGGTCGATTCCGCATGGTACGGGACCCCTCGATCGTCTCGCCCACCCTCACTGGAGTGTTCATTGGGGGGGGTCATAACAAACACAGTACAGGATCCCAGAGGGTAGATCGAGCAGTGTCGTCCCCCCTCTCCATCATCTCACTGGGAGACGTCGGCGGCGATGACGGTGTGACCGTGCTATCACGCCTTGCGACAGCCTGTCGGCGCTGCTGACCGTGCCATGATGCACAATTGATCACCTGCACAGCTCGCGGCCTTAGTATCAAGCATATTCAGTGACGACCTGATCGTACGGCCAGTAGGAAGGTGTCCTTCCATCGTGTGCACGCTTCTGGCGCAATGCGCGTCGCCTCGGATTGGCTGCTGGCACTCTCGAGGCTATGCCTACGCAGCCTCGCGCGCATGGGCAGTCAAGAGGGACCACGCACCTTCTCAGGACAGCGCCGGTGCCTCTCTCTTGGACCGGCAAACTTTGTGGTCTCGTGTCACCAATGTGGGACCAGTGCGGCATCGCGCCATCGACAGCTCTGAACTGCGCCTCACCACTGACCGGGAAGGCCGCCAAGTGGGCCAGCGCACCGGTCGCACATAAGATTGTGGCAGCAGTCAGCAGTGCATGTCTGATAGCTAGAGCAGCAGCGTCAGGGTCGCAGGGTCGGATCGTGTAAAGCCTCTCGCCCGGCCGGCCGCGTGCAGGGACGTCGGCCTGTCTGCGCTCTGTCGCTGGAGTGATCTGACATCTGTCGGCGGTCAGTACGACCGATCAGGTCGGAGTTTTCGGATGGTTGGAGGGTCTATCTGTGTGTACTCCTCGAGATCTCTCCAAATCTGCCCTCTGATCAACCGTGATCATTCGGGAAGTCGGTGCTAATACATCGAAACGAGACATCGCTCTCTTGCGGCGGGGCTGCTCGGGTTGCCGGGACACCTGCTCTCGCCAGCGCCGCGCACCGCGGAGCCATGCGCAGCCCCTCCCACCGCTGCACACGTACACACGTACACACACACACGCTGCCTAAAGCTAAGGGGTCGGATGCGCTCTGGCCTCTGCCGCGCCCGCAGAGACCACGCTCGCGGGAGGCTGCCGCCGCGTCCGCGGCCTGCGGCCACAAGGCGGTCAGATCTCGTCCTTCTCCGGGTTCTCCTTGGCCTCCTCGGCCTCGGCCTTGGCCTTCTCCTTGGCCTCCTCCTCCTCCTTGGCCTCCTTGGCCTTCCTCTCCTCCTCCTTGGCCTTCCTCTCCGCCTCGGCGGCCTCCTGCTTCGCCTTCTTGGCCGCCTTCTCCGCCTCGGAGCGCGCCGCGAAGGCCTCCGCCGCAATCTTGGCCGGCGCGGGGTCCGTCGAGATGAGTATGTTGTCGAACAGCGCGCCGTCCTGCATCGTCCACAGCTCGATGCCGATGCCGCCGATCGGCGCCATCGCGTGCGGCTGCTCGTCGCTGAAGTAGCCCGGGTTTGCAATCTGCTTGGGCTTCCACACGCCCTTGTACTCTGGGTTGTCCACCTTTGGCGCGGTCCACTTGCCCTTGTAGTCGGGGTTCCGGATCTGCGGCGCCTTCCACTCCCCGCACCCAAACTCCTTGCAGTCTGGGTTGTCCACGATCGGCGCCTCCCACTCCCCGTCCTCCTCCTCGTCCCAGTCGTCGGGAGGCTCCGCCTCCGGGTCGGGGACCTGCAGCGGCGCGTCGTCGAGCCAGCTCTCGGGCTTCTCCGCCTACCAGGGCGAGACCCGACCCTCTCGCCACCGCTCTCGCCGCCACGGGCGCGTGGCCGCCGCCACGGCGCCGCCCGCCTTTGGGTCCTCAATCATCATCGGCGCGTCCTCGTCCCAGTCGTCCGGCTTGCTCGCCTCCGGGTCGTCGATCTTGGCCGTGTCCACCTACGGCCAAGGCGGCGGGCGCCCTCCGCCGCGCGCGCTCGGAGGGCGGCGGGCGGCTGCTCTCTCTCGCCCAGTCGTCGGGCTTCTTGTCGTCGGGGTCGTCAATCTCCTTGGGCGGGTTGACGGGCGGCGTGAAGTCGTCCGACTCGAGGAGCGAGGCCTTGACCTTCTCCTCGTTGTCGATCAGCAGCGTCACCGTGTTGTCGGCGCCCACGATCGCCGTGTACAGGTGCGTCTCCCCGACGGCGAGCAGCGGCGTGGGCGCCTTCTTGAGGTGCTTCTCCTCCCACTCGCCGGTCGCCGGGCTCTTGTGGCGGAGGATGAAGTGCACCTTGTTGGTGCCGCCGCACTTGTCCGGCCCGAACATGATCGTGTACGGCGTCTCCGCCTTGAAGCCGTCGTGGTCGAGCTCCTCGGACGCGGTGAGCAGCTTGAGGTACGCGCCGCCGCACTTGAGGTCCTTCTTCATGTGCAGCTCGTACTGCACGACCAGGCCCGTGCCCTTGGGGTCGATCGGCTCCTTGAACAGGTGCGACACCGCGTGCTTCTTCGCCTCGTTGCCCACCATCAGGCCCTTGTCTCCGGGCGTGCCCTCGGGCTCCGTGTACGCCTCGTGGATCCACGTGCCCTGGAAGTCGGCGTCCTTGGAGACGAGCCACCGCGACTCCCAGTCGCTGCTGAAGGGCTCGAAGAAGGCCGCGCCGTCGACGGACTCAAGCGGGGCGGCGGCGGAAGCGGCGGCGGCCAGGGCGAACATATACAACGTATTTGGTTGTGACGTGGCAACAGGGAGTGGATATATTCTTGCGAACGAAAAAAGAAAACAGTTTTTCTGAACAACAAGGCGCTCATCACCACTCGTTTGTTGCACTCTCTCTCAAGCATGCTCACCGTTCCGCCGCGCAACCAAGACCTCACGCCGCGTCATCCGTCGCCGTCGTAGCAGCGACCCGAGGGACCATGTGGAAGACTGCTAGACGCCGTAGCCCCCCATCGTGAGGACGACTGTCGACCCCGGCTAGTCGCCGACCACACCCACAAAGAACCCTGCACAAAGATCGCACGGGCGGGGCTTTCCTTTTTACCCATTCTCCGTTTTGTTTATTTATTTCCCGCCGATCTCCCGCTAACGGGGTCTTAAAACCCACCTGTACCCTCTCAATCTCTTCCTAAAAATCTCTCTCTCTCAGAAGAATTTTCCAACCAAACTCTCTCTCCTCGCACAACACTAGCAGCCCCAACTCGTCTTGCCGCTCTTCCGTGTCGGGTTGTGACGAGGGGTGAGGCCAAGTCCCAAGATCGTGCAGGGCGGGGACACATGTCCCTAAATCCCATCTCGTCTCAGAGTTTGACCGTTTTATTTATTTAGCTAGGACTGGCGCATTTAGCTAGGACTGGCGCGCAACTAGGCCCTCGGGGGGGGAGGGTCTCGGTTCGTGAGGCTAAACTTGCGTTTCGGGGAGGGGCCTCAGTGCAGGCGATCCAGGGCAAGCTGGCTCAGCCCGACGTCTTCCCCTCCTCCCTCGAGGCAGCGAGTAGGCAGCGAGAGGAGGTCTCGAGCGCCTATATGAAGGTATGTGAGATGGTGATGGGAGTGGGTGGTCGGTCGGTCGGTCGGTCGGGCGGTCGGGCGGGCAAGCGGGGAGAGGCGGGGGGGCGGGGCGGGGCGGGCGGGCGGGGTGATCGGAGAAGTCGTATCCACAATCAGCAGCAGCGGAGCAGCAGCAGCAGCAGCAGCAGCTGCAGCAGCAAGCAGCAGCCTGCCGCAGATTGCTGCCGTTGTCAGCGCCGCGATCCGCCGCCGCGCCGCCGCGCCGCCGCCGCCTGCGCAGGTGCAGACAGGCGCGTGCCTTCACTGAAAGAAGAATTTTACAACAAAACTCCCTCCCGTCGCACGACGCACAACACTGGGCACTCGACAGGCCTCGACAGGCCTCGACAGGCCTCGACACCTCTACCCCTCGACAGCAGCTCGACACCCTCGACACCGGGCCTCGACACCTCGACACCAGGGCTCAGGTTTCGGGAGGACGACCTCGGCTAGCCGCCGACCACACCCACAAAGAACCCTCCTCAAAGATCGCACGGGCGGGGACCTGTTCCTTTTTACCCATCTCACAGTAGAGAGTTGTCCGTTTTTATTATTTATTTAGGGTTCTGAGGGCCGGATTTTTTTAAAGACCGTTTAATAAATGAGGAGGTTTGGGGGCCTAAATTGCCATTTAAGAGATTGCAGGCACGGGGGGTCCCTCTTTTTAAAATCGGCCTCGCCGTCGCTGGGTGCCGCGCCGTTTTCTCCAATCAATACGGCCGTACTAGGCACAAACCCGGTACCCGCCTCTGAAGACACGTCTGTAAGTCTGGTGCACTGGCAGGAGCCATACTCGCATAGGGGACGCGTGCTAGCTGACTGTAGCCAGCTTCCCGGCCTCCGGCGTCTGGTGCACTTACCGGGAGCCTCCCGGACCATCGACCTCGGGAGCTCTCCCGCACCGTTTAAGCGTTTAAGACCGTTCAAGGAATCGGCGGCCCCCAGCAGCTCTTAAACCGGCCATGGCCGGTTTTAAGCCGTTTAAGCCGCAGGCGCCCCAGGGCCCACCCTTTTAAGAGCCTAGGGGGCCCCTAAGCCGGTAGGTACCCGGTACCCGGACGGAGGTCTCGCGGACGGAACGATTCGAAAGCAGCAGCTGCACGTCAACGTCCTTGTCCTCCTTGGCGTAGCGACACTCGCCGCCATAGGTCGCGTAGAAGCCCCTCAGATCAGTGGTCATCAGATGAATAGTGCCCGGGAGCGAGGGATCCGGAGGGGAGCACAAATAGGAAGACCAGCGCCTTCCTTGCCCTCGTGTCGCCGATAAATAAATAGAGCAGACTACAGCCCCTGGGTGGGATTTGGGCAACAACCCGACGGGCAGCCCCAGCCCCGCTCTGAGGCGTTGCGCCACACATTCCGCCGAGTGCGTAACTTGGAGCACTTGGAGCGCTTGGAGTGCAGTCGGCAACGACAAACAACTTTTTTTTGCAAAGCCCCCCTGGGTGTCGCGGTGCTCTCCGCAAGTGTGGCCGCCGGTGCGAGGCGAGAGGCTTGGATTCAGTGCAAACGATGATCCGCTGGCTGCTCCTCGCCGCCTCCGCGAGCGCCGCCGAGAATGGGCTCGCGCGGCTGCCACCGTGCGCGCGCGGCGAGCGCGCGCGGCGACGAGCCGAGCCGTGCGCCCCACCGCCGCTCTCTCCCCGCGCCGTAGGCTCGGCTGGCGCTCGTGGAACCTGTACGGCGGCAACGTGAACCAGACGCTGATCGAGGGCATCATGGCCAGCATGGTCCGGCGCAGCTCCCGCTACACTGTTGACGGCGTGCCCACCTCCCTCTGCGACCTCGGCTTCTGCGACGTCGGCCTCGACGACAACTGGCAGGCGTGCGGCCGGCACGGCGAGGGAGGCTACACGTACCACGACGAGGAGGGCAACCCGCTCGTCAACTCCGAGCGCTTCCCGTCGATGAAGAGCATGACCTCGTACGCCCACTCCCTCGGGTTGACGGCAGGCTGGTACGGCAACAACTGCATCTGCTCTGAAAAGAAGACGGGCGACCGCCGCTTCTACGCGGGCGACGTCAGGGCGATGCGCGGGATGGGGTTCGACTCGTGGAAGCTGGACGGGTGCGGCGCGCAGACCGACATGCAGCTGTGGAGCGACCTCATCCAGGCCGCCGCCGGCCGGCGAGCCGCCGCCGCTCGCCCTTCGCCGCGTGACGCGCAGGCGGAGGCGCGGCGATAGGCGACGCCGGCGACGACCGGCCGCTCCGCCATCATGGTGGAGAACTGCCACTGGGGCTCGCGCAGGCCGTACGAGCCGACCGCCACCTGGTGCCCGTGGAACTTTTACCGCACGTCTGGCGACGTGCGCGCAACGTACGGCTCGGTCATCGGCAACCTGCAGTCCGTCTTTAAGTTTTCGGGACGCAACCTCTCGTGCGCGGCGGAATCGGCGCGGGCCCGCGCGCGGCACCGCGACCGCCACACCCCCCGCGCCGGCTGCGCCGCGCGTGTAGGTACCCTGGCTGCTGGGCGTACGCCGACATGCTCGAGGTCGGGGTGCTCGCCAGCCCGTTCAGCGGCGACAAGGGCACGCGCCGCCGCGCAGAGGGGCGCCGAGGGCCGGGGGGGGGGAGTAGTCTCAGGCGGAGGGTGCGCGCGCGGGTAGGCCTCACCATCGCCGAGACGCGCTCCCACTTCGCGGCGTGGGCCATCGTCTCGTCGCCGCTCACGCTGTCGCACGACCCGTCCAACCTCACCATCATGGACGCGATCTGGCCGGTCCTCTCGAACCGCGAGCTGCTCGCAATCAGCCAGGCTTACGCCGGCTATTCGGGCGGCCCCTTCAAGGAGGCGGCCGAGGGGCTGCAGCTCGCCGCCGCCGACACGGCGCTCGCCCGCCCCGGCGCGAGCGCGGCCGAGCTCGCGGCGTTGCCGCCGCTGCGGGTGCCGGCGTGGCAGTACCTGTACAAGCCGCTCGAGTGGGGCGGCCGCAAGGCGGCGGTGCTGCTGATGAACCACGGCAAGGAGGCGGCGCAGCTGACGCTCGCCTTCGCAGACGTGCCCGGCCTCGGCTGCCGCGCCTGCAGCGTGCGCGACGTGTGGTCGCGCAAGGATGTCGGCACATTCAACGGCTCGGTGACGCTCGGCGTGGGGTCGCACGACTGCGCTCTGCTGGTGCTGACGCACGTCTCGCCCCACGTGGCGCGCGCCGCCGCGTGACGCCACACGGCGAGGGCACTGCAGAGGGCGCGGACTCGCCTCGAGGGGAGAGCTGTGTGCCATTGGCAGGCGACATCGGTCCTTTCTCTCCCTTTAGGCCCTGTCTCCGTCGGGGCTTCTGTGTGCCATCGCTTCTCCGGTTTAGGAAGAGAAGAAGAAAAGTATCGGTATCGCGCATGCCTTGCGGATGTAACCGCAAAGATTGAGGACCTCGTGGACGACACAGCATGAGCGATGAGGGCCTTGCTCACCAGCCTCCTGATCGCCGCGCAGCAGCGCGCCGCGGCGTTCGAGTCGACAACCATGGTTGAGACGCCGGCACCCCCGCCAAATGTGCTGCTCCTCTTTGCCGACGACCTCGGCATCAATCAGGCGAACATCCCTGGCCAGCCCTTGTCGTACACGGGCGTCTCCGGCGCAATCAAGACTCCCAACCTCGCCAAGATGGCGTCAGAAGGCACCACTTTCATGCAATGGTACAGCGCCTTCCACGTCTGTACGCCGTCGCGAGCCTCGCTGATGACAGCGCGGCTGCCAGTTCGGCTTGGGCTTGGAGACGGTGTGCTGGCACCCGATGCCACGGGCGGCCTTCAGCTCAACGAGACCACGATGGCCGAGACTCTGCGACGCCTCGGGTACGCGACGGCAATGTTTGGCAAGTGGCATCTCGGCCAACGCGAACAGTACTTGCCGCACAATCGCGGGTTCGACATTTATTTCGGCATCCCGTTCTCCTGCGACATGGGATGCGGAGCGTGGCATGGGCCGCATCCGACCCGGTGCTTCCCGTCGCCTCTCCCGCTGCTTAGCTGCGCGACGGGCAGCGTTGCCAAGGTCGAGGAGCAGCCCACGAACCTGGCCACCCTCACGCAACGGTATGCCGACTTTGGCGCAGCGTTCATCGCCAACCACTCGGCAGCAGACCGGCCGTGGTTCCTCTTTGCTTCCTTCAACCATGTGCACGTGACCGACGCAAACTATTCGAAGGCGAACCCGCCCCCGGGCTACTCGGACTGGCAGTTTTCGAGCGTCGAGTTCTGCGGCAGCAGCGGGCGCGGTGGCACGGGTGACGCGGTGCAGGAGCTTGACGACGCAGTGGGCCAGCTGTTGGCGTCTGTCAAGCGTGCAGGGGCAGAGAGAAAGACCATCACCTTCTTCACGTCGGACAACGGCAACCCTGAGTACGGCGACATGCTCGGCAACCTGCCTCTGCGTGGATACAAGGCGTCCAACTGGGAGGGCGGCGTGCGCGAGCCAGCCATCGTTCGCTGGCCTGGGCGCATCGCTGCGGGGGTGACCTCGTGGGCACTGGCGACGACGTACGACATCTACCCGACCGTGATGCGCCTCGCGGGCGGCTCGATGCCGCCTGGCCGTGTGTACGACGGCAAAGACCTGAGCGCGGTGCTGCTGTCTGGCGCGTCCACGCCGCACGCCTGCCTATTCCATTGGCATGACTCCGAGCTGGGGCAGGGCGGGCGAGGGCTCTCGGCGGTCCGTTGCGGGGACTACAAGGCGCACTTCTACACGCAGAACGATTACGCCACGGAGGCGAACCGGAGCAAGTCGTGGCCCGCAGGGAAGCAGGACCCGCCGCTGCTCTTCCTGCTGACGCAGACCGAGCAGTCGGAGACTGTGCAGGTCGACCCAGCGTCTGAGGAGTACGCCTCGCACATGAAGGTCATCGGCCGCGCGAGGGACGCGCATCTCGCAAGCATTGCGCCTGTCTGCTCTCAAAACAAGGCCAGTGAATGTGGCGGCACAAATTGGTCATACGCCGTTTGCGCCGACCACGACTCCAAGAGCAAGTTTCCCCAATGGCCGCTGTGTACGATTACCCCAGCGGGATGGACGGCCAAGACGTGTGTTTGAGAGGACAGTGCGTAAAACCGCGACTCACCGTAGCCGAGCGCGGCTTGCAGCACTTGGGGGGTGTTTGCCTGTCGTTCGCGCGTGCATGGCATGGTGGTTGGTACGGGGTTTCGTGTCACTCACTCACACAGCTGTCAGAGTCACCTTGCTCCTTGGGTCCTTGCACTGTCCACTGTGCACTGAAATCCGTCTTCTCAAATATCAGCCCAGGGCGTGCAGACAAAACCATCTCAGTTAGGCCACACGTGATCACGGCTTGGCTTGGGGCATGCCGTAATGGTTACCGTAACCAGATATGCCTATATACTGTGTACGCATTCGGTGTATTGATTTGCGCGAAAAAGATCCTCAAGCATCAAAGCACTCTCCGGCCGCGACCACACTTCACACACCGCATTGGGATGTACGGCTTTACACACAAGATCAACACGTCTGTTGTGACTGTTCTGCGGCGGTCTATCGTTGAAGCTGCCGGCGGAGGGGTGGAGCGTGTCCAGACTGCAGATTCCAGTCCCCTCCTCACGACCTCAGTCAATCACAGTGTCTCTCGTGAGCTCACCACTGACAGAGTCTCTCTGTCGTAACACCGGTCCGCTGAAGAGACTCAGTGCTACACACAGTCTCCCCCATTCCCCGAAGCCGAGCGAGCGAGCGTACTCCGACGCTGCCAGCCTCGAGGGCACGAGGGCCCCTGTGGGTCGGGTCCTCTCGGGCCTCTTATAAAGTACCTTTATCGTTTTTGCTCTCATCACTCATGTCGTTATTGTTCATTCAAAAGCACACCTCTCTCACCACCCTCACTCACCTCTCTCAATCACCCCCCTCCTCCTCCTCTTGCACGGGCGGCTGCGGCGGCGGTGGCTTTGGGGGCGGCGGCGGCGGCGGCGACGGTTTGACCGACAACGGCAGCGAGAGCCTGATGGAGGCAGAGCAAATATCCCTGTCCGCAGTTCGTTGCACCTCGACGACTGCTCCATCGAACCGGACTTACGAGGGCAGCAGCAAGGTGAACGTCCAGATATCGCTCGACGCTGGTTCCCACTGGACGCAGTTGGACGCTGCCTCGGCCGTCGAAATACCGTGCCAATCGCCTCCGTCAACACCACCGCTATCGCCACCGTTTCCCCCTATGCCGTCACCGCCGCCGCCATCAACACCACCATCACCACCGCCGCCAACACCTCCGCCATCCATCCCGCCTCTACGGCCGCCTCCGACGACACCGCCACCATCATGGCCGCCGCCATCGCCGCCGCCCCCGTCGCCTCCGCCTCCAGAGCCACCGCCATCAGCACCACCGCCGTCACCGCCTCCGCCGATGCCACCCCTTCCATCGCCGCCCCCTCCAACGCCACTACCACCGACGCCGCCGCCGCCGTCGCCGCCGCCGCCATCGCCGCCACCGTCCCCGCCTCCGCCATCGCCGCCCCCCTCACTGCCGCTGCCGTCTCCGCCGCCACCCTCCCCACCGCCGCCCTCCCCACCGCCGTATATGCCCGGTCAGTACTGCCACGCGGAGTGCCCGCAGTCGCTCAGCGGCTCGACGGTGCTCGACGACACGATCCGCCGCCACAGCTACACCGGCTTCTCCAGGCAGGACCACTATCTCTCCAGCTTGCCGACTTGGTACAGGTTCGAGGACTCCAGCGGCAACCCGCGTCGCATGATGGCGACCTCCGACGGCCTCGAAACCAGTAGCTACAACTGCGGCGCCGCTTGGCGGACCTGGAACAGCTCGCCGATGCCGGTGATGGGGGAGGCTCCGTTCACCGCCCAGCTCTGCGGCTTCTACCGGAGCTGCAACGGCGCTTCCTGCACCAAGAACGGCGTCGCCAAGTGCTACAACAACGTCAACTACTCGCCCGAGGCGAACACCTGCACGTGCTCGTACGACCAGGGAGCGACGATGACGTACCTGTACCAGCTGACCAAGACCGCGATAAGCAGCCAGAACTACTGCGTGACGGACCAGCCGATGCCGCCACCGCCGCCGCCCTTTCCACCCTCCACCCCTCCCTCGCCGCCTCCGCCATCGCCGCCCCCGTCGCCTCCCCCCTCGCCGCCGCCGCCGTCTCCGCCGCCGCCCTCCCCACCGCCGCCCTCCCCACCGCCGCTCGCCCCAAACGCCTACTGCCACGCGGAGTGCCCGCAGTCGCTCAGCGGCTCGACGGTGCTCGACGACACGATCCGCCGCCACAGCTACACCGGCTTCTCCAGGCAGGACCACTATCTCTCCAGCTTGCCGACTTGGTACAGGTTCGAGGACTCCAGCGGCAACCCGCATCGCATGATGGCGACCTCCGACGGCCTCGAAACCAGTAGCTACAACTGCGGCGCCGCTTGGCGGACCTGGAACAGCTCGCCGATGCCGGTGATGGGGGAGGCTCCGTTCACCGCCCAGCTCTGCGGCTTCTACCGGAGCTGCAACGGCGCTTCCTGCACCAAGAACGGCGTCGCCAAGTGCTACAACAACGTCAACTACTCGCCCGAGGCGAACACCTGCACGTGCTCGTACGACCAGGGAGCGACGATGACGTACCTGTACCAGCTGACCAAGACCGCGATAAGCAGCCAGAACTACTGCGTGACGGACCAGCCGATGCCGCCACCGCCGCCGCCACCGGGACCGCCGCTGAGTCCCCCGCTACCTCCTTCCTCACCTCCGTCGCCTCCGCCCCCCTCGCAGCCTCCGTCGTTTCCTCCGCCCTCAGCACCTCTACCCGCGCCGCCCCCCGCACCGCCTCCACCGTCGCTGCCTCAGCCGTCACGACCTCCGCCGCTGAGTCCCCCGCTTCCGTCGCCACCGACACCATCCTTACCGCCTGCCACACCTCCATGCTTTGCGGCCCTACTGTCAGTCTATGAGCCATCGAAGAACTACGCAGGCGTCATGATCCATCTTCCAGATCAAGAATTCGACTTCTCGTCCTATGACGGAACGCACGCGTTCCTGACTGTCAACGTGTGCCTGTATGCCGCATGCCAACTGCTGAACATCTCGGGTGCCATCAGCAGTTTCAGCTGGACGATAAGCTACAGTGATGAGGAGACAGAGGTGATTGTGACAGTCGGAGCGGGCAGCACAGACAGAATTATTTGCTTCAGTATGCCCCCTCCCTTAGTACCGCCGCCCCTTTCCCCACCGCCAGCGCCAACGCCATCGGACACGCCACCGACGAGCGCGCCAAACCCAGCAACACCCCCGCCGCTCTCGCCACCCTTATCACCGCTTACGCCACCGCCGCCCACGCCACCGCCGCCCTTGCCACCGCCGCCCTCGCCGCCGCCACCCTCGCCGCCGCCGCCATCCCCACCTCCGCCCTCGCCTCCGCCACCCTCTCCGCCTCCGCCGTCTACACCACCGCCCTCGCCCCCACCACCGTCGCCGCCTCCTCCCTCGCCGCCTTCACCGTCGCCGCCACCGCCCTCACCGCCGCCGCCGTCGCCGCCGCCTTCCACGCCACCGCCGCCCTCACCGCCACTGCCCTCGCCACCACCTCCCTCGCCTCCACCGCCCTCGCCACCGACGCCCTCCCCGCCACCGCCCTCGCCGCCGCCGCCGCCCTCACTACCGCCGCCGTCGCCACCGCCGCCACCGCTCTCACCACCTCCGCCGTCGCCGCTGACGCCGTCGCCGCTGCTGTCTTCGACGCCGCCACCCTCGCCCCCACCGCCATCGCCCCCACCGCCATCGCCGCCGCCCTCACCGCCGCCGCCCTCACCGCCGCCACCATCGCCGCCGCCGCCCTCGCCGCCGCCGCCGTCGCCGCTACCCGCACCGCCTCGCTATTCGCCGCCTCTGCTACCGCCTCCAATGCTACCGCTACCGTCAGCTTGCACGTGCTCTCCCTACTATGATCTTGCCGAGGGCATCGCCAACTCACCCACCTTTCTCGATGACACTAGCGCCCTCTTCTACGTGCTTCAGACCGATGACGCCTGGCCGTTGAGTCTCTCCGTGTACCACCCAGCCTGGGGCTGTGCGTGCGAGGACCCGGAGGACCGCCCAATCTGGCTTGCCGCCCTCGACCTGTGCTTTTGGGTGGATAGCATCAATGTGACGCAGCGAGACGCGCTCTTTGGCGACTCGGGGCAGCTGCAGCAGGCGTACGAGCGCGCCTGCTCCGCCTTCGCGCCGGGCGAGCAGGTCAACGAGTACTACCACCACGTCCGGCTGTGCGCGACGCCCGCCTTTGTGCGCGACCTTGGTGGAACGGGGCGTCGGTGAAGGCGACCGACACCTCGGGGTGGAACTTGAAGTCGATGCTCGCGACACCCGCGACCGGCGTGGAGGACAGGTCGGAGCAGAAGCCCGAGGCAGCGACGAGCCAGTTTGGGTCGTCAACCGGGTTGGACACGGGCGGGGTCGGGCGAGGCGCGAAGGTTGGGTGGCGATCGGGCGAGGCGAAGAGTAGCCCCGAGTTGGGCTCGGGCATCGGGTCGACCGCGGCCGCGTCGGGCACGAACACCGACTCGAGGAACTCGGAGACGCCGCCAGAGCCGTACGAAGACAGAGCAACGGCCGAGCAGCCGAGTATGACCACCACGGTGAGGAAGCCGCACAGCAGCTTGGTCGAGCAGAACTTGCCGACGCGGAGGCCGGAGCGCGTCGAGGGCGTCGTCGACGACGGCGGGGCGTCGTCGACAGACGCCTTGCCGGCGGAGCCGACGCCAGCGAGGTCTTCCTCGTCGACGTCCGTTCCGAGCAGCGCCGCGAACCCGTTGGAGTCGACGCGGCCGATCGGGGTGGGGATCTTGGTGGTCTTGTTGGAGCGGTCGACCAGGTTGGACTCGCCCTTGCGCTCGATCTTGCGGAGCGGGGAGGGGGTCTTCCACTCGTCGATGCCCTGCGCGTGACGTGCGGCAGAGGTCACAGGATCAATGTAAGTGCCCGCCTGTAGGAATCCCGTGTCCCCGCAATACCCGCGTGTGCGGAGAAAGGTGGTGGGAAGCGCTCACCGACGGGGCGGGCTCCTTCTCTGGAAACTCCTTGGTCGAGACGTTCCAGTCGGCGTCGCCCTACGCATCACGCGAGACGGGTCAGGTAGTGGGTCGGCAGACGCCGGCGCGCGCAGAAGGCCAGGCGCTCGCCGCCGCGGCGGGCTCCTCCTCCGGAAACTCCTTGATCGACGGCAGCGGCGAGCCGCCGGCGGTGACCGGCTCGAGGGCCGGCGCGTCTTCGGTGACCGGCTTGAGAGCCGGCGCGTTTTCGGCCGGAATGATGCGGGCCTTCACTTCCGTCTTGTTCTCTGACATGTTGTTGATCGAGTCACTCGTACCTGCGATAGGGGTGGGTGGGTGGCGGGTGTGTGATATTCACGGGCGGGAGGGGGGGCGGGGGGGGGGGCGCTCCAAATTTAGGTCAAATTTCGTCATTTAAAATTAATTAAGCTCATTGACGAAACTTGATGGGGATAAGTGGCGCATCAGAACGAGCGAAAGAGCGCCTCCAGAAAGAGGTGCGGAAGTGCCATACCGGTCTCGGAAGCGATCTCGGGTAATCTCGGGTAATTAGCTAATTGACGAATCTTGACGACAATCTCGGGCAATCTCGGGTGGCGCATAAGAAAGTGCGATAGAGCGCCTCCACAAAGAGGTGCGGAAGTGCCATACCGGTCCAGAAGCGATCTCGGGTAATCTCGGGTAATAATTATGCTAATTGACGAAATCTCGGATCTCGTCAATTTAGTCAACTTGTGGCGCAATGATGCCCCAGAGCATTTCCACGAATTTCGTCAAATTTCCGTCAATTATGTTAATTGACGAAATCTCGGCTGAATCTCGGCCAATCTCGGCTAATCTCCTGCTCTGATTGCTGCACATCGTGTTCCGGACCACACTACTCTCGCTGCTTTGAGAGCGTCTTTGAGGGGGGGAATCGAGAGGAAGGGGGGCTCAAGAGGGCCGCACCTACTCGCAGCGCACGCAGCTTGAGGCCCGGCACCAAGGACCACCGCGGCACGCCCGTCTCGCCCACGTTGTTTTGGATCTGCGAGGGTGCAGGAGGCGGCGAGCGAGCGTCAGAAGCATAAAATGGGACGAGCATGGCGCGGGCTCGATTTGGGGGTCGCGGGGGCGCAGTAGGCATGAAGGCGACCCGCGGCCGCGCGCTCAGCAGCGCTCAGACCGGCAATCCGATTGTGCCAGATTCGCCTCGATCCTCGGAGCGATGCTCGCGCGGCGGCGGTCGCAGCACGGCGTGCAGCCGCGCACGGGCTCGCTGATTGGTGGTTGTGGGGCGAAGCGAGAGGGCCCGCGCGGGGGCAGCTCTCATCTCGCGCTGCGTCGCGCCGGGCGAGGGGCGAGGCGAGAGGCAACCATGGCAAACCTGCAATCTGCAAAGTTTCGGTAGGGCACCTTCCTTTGAGGGCGGCGACTATCTACTGATGGAGGCGCCGGCTTTGCTTCTCAAGGCACTTTTTTTTAACCATTACGAGTCGCCGGTCTCTCCTTCCTTGTAGCCGGGGCACCTCGCCAGTAGCTTTCTTGTCTGTGTCACGCCATTGTGCCGCTCGTCGCCCCCCAAGTAAGTAAGTGACTTGGACGCGCGGTCGAGGGCACCGCCCCACCGTCCTGCTCCGACTTTTCCTCTGCTCCGGCGAAGCGGGCGAAGGCGAGGAGCCACCAGGCCCTCATGCCGACTGGCCGCCGCCTCGCGTCCACGGCGGTCCGCGAGAGCGAGCGTGGGCAGCACGGACAAGGCGATGCTCCCCCCAGGAGTTGTTTCCCCTCGTCGTTGTCCATATCAAACGTGGGCACGTATTTCTTCAAACGCAGAAACCTCCAGGAAAACCGGGCGCGACACAATCAAGGTTCAGGGCTTCTTTTTTCAAGGCACGAAGGTGGGGGGGGGGGGTAGGAAGGAAGGTTGACAAGGTGAGAGCCGTAGACGGAGTGATGAAGAATCTTGTCGCATGGGCAGCGCGCCATCTTCAAGCACGATGTGATGAGCAAGTCTCTGCACGTGGCGAGTCTCAACTGCTCTCATTGATATTGTGACGCCCAGCGAGGGGCGTGCCTCTCCATGAGCGAATGCGCGCGGCCTACCACCCCAACCGCCCTCCAGCCCCTGCAGCCCCGCCCGCCCTCCAGCCCCGCCCGCCCTCCAGCCCAGCCTCGGACCGCCCCAGGTGCCGACCCTCACTCAACCCTAGCCCTGGCCCTAACCGTACCCCCTCCCCCTAACCCTAACCGCCCCAGGTGCCCACCATCACGGTGGACAAGTGCGACGCGACGACTCTCATCCTCAACCGCGAGTCGCTCGACTGCGAGATCGTCTCGGCAAAGTCGACGCTTAACATCCAGATGCCGGGCGAGACGGACGAGGGCGGGTCCGCGGAGGGGAGGGAGCCTTCTCGGAGCCTTCTCGGAGCCTTCCCTATAGGCAAGACGGACGACGACGAGTTCAAGGAGGTGCCCATCCCGGAGCAGTTCGTCTCCAAGTTCGACGGCGACAAGTGGACGACCGAGTGCATGGCCCACTCTGGCTAGCGTACAGGGAGGGGCGCCGGGGCCCCTTGCGGCGGGGCGACGGATGTGGACTACGCGGCCGGGGGCTGCGGCTCGCCCCGGTCCTTTTACGCGTGCGGGGCCGGCAGGTGCGCTCAGGTGCGGCTGCGAGGCGTGTAAGGTAAGGTAAGGTAAACGTCTCCACACACACAAAGTGGTGGGGCAAGGGGGGGCGACCCTCGCATCTCCACGCCCGGACACGGGCAGGAGCCTCACGGCATTCAAAGTGCAAGCACCGGCCCGGTGCCGTGGGTGAGCAACCTGCACCTCACTCCCTCCCTCCCAGACACAGGACCCACACACAACCCCCACAGCGTGGACGACTACGTGTTCAGAAACACCAAGCAGCGAGGCGAGGGTGAAGGGGTAAGGGGCTGTGTGGGGCAGAATCTACATCTGACTACTCCATCTAGCCTGGGGGGTCGGAGGAGGGGGGGGCAGAAGGGGTAAGATATGGGTGAAGCCAGCTAGTCGGACGCCCTGTCGTCGGAATACTCCTCGGAGCCGGTGTCCTCGTCGTCGTCCTTGCCCGACGCGGAGGTCGGGCGAGAGGTCTGCATCGCCTCGCCGGCTGTGAACCTGAACACGGCGTCGGCCGGCGCCGAGGCGCCGGCGGCCGTCATCAGGTGCATGACAAATCTGTCGCGGCATGCCGCATCAATCTCTCCATACTCGGCCAGCTCGGTTGCGAGCCAGTCCGAGGCGACGGTCGTCGCCACGGTCCCCTGGGGAACCTTGGCGTACACCTTGCTGGGGCCGCGTCGATACCCGTCGTCCCTCTCCGGGGCAGCGAGTATTCGACCTCTATTTTGGACCCGGCCTGGCTGCGCGTCTGCGCAGCTGCAGTCCGCAGCCCGGCCATCACGTACTGGATGTTCTCGCGCAGCTGCGCCCGCGGGGCCTCCGCGCGCTCGGCCTCGCTCGCGGCGCGCTCGCCAGCCTCCTTCGCCCGGCGCGCCTTCTGCCGGGCCTTCTTGGCCTTGCGTGCCGCGGCTCGAGCCGCGAGCTGCTCCTTGGTGAGCTCCTTCTTATTTGGCGCGGTGCGCTCGACGTACGAGCGCTCTGCCGCCTGCACCGACGCGCGGTCGCCCGCGGCCTTCTCGTGCTTCAGGTCGATCTCGATGGTCGCGTAGCCAGGCCTTATCAGCCTGACCTGCGACGCACCTGCGATCCTTGCGACCATCACCGCGTCCTCCAGTTGCACGCGATCGGAGCTATTCCAGCGTCCGCTGCGCATCCCCGGCGGCACGACGGTGGCCGGTGCTTGCGCACCAGCCCCGTCCGCCACCGGGTCCGCGGCCGCGGTCCCTGTCATAGCTAGGCGCGCCATGGAGAACGGCGGGCACTTCCCGTTGTCAGCGTGCGTCGGGGCCGGCGCGGGGAGCCGGGCTCGTGGTGTGAGGCGCGCGAGGAGTAGCACTTGCGCCTGGGGCCCGGGGTGCGGGTTCGCGCGCGAGGCGAGGGGCAAAGAAAGCGTGTGCGTGCGCGCCTGACGTCCTGCCGTGTGCGGGCTGCGCTGCTGTCAGGGACTTTCTGTGGCGCGCGCGCCGCGACGCGAAAAAAAACATAGAAGACGGCGATACAAAATACAAACATCAAACAATGTAGAATGTTCCATGCCCTACTGTATGCCCTCGGAGAACGGGCGACCACGGCTTTACCTCACCCTCGCTACTCTATCGACCCGATACCTCACTGCCCCGGCGCCCACATCTCGACCTTCTTGGGCAGCAGCTGGTCCGACAGGTCCTCTCCGTGGCCTAGGCAGCCGTCATCGCCCTTGCCCCAGGTAAAGAAGGCGCCGTCGGCGGTGAGGGCGAGGCTGCGGCGGGCTCCCGCAGACGCAGCGACGACGCGCTGGTCAGCAAAGGCCTCGACCTTCTTGGGCAGCAGCTGGTTCTGCTCGTCGCCGTGGCCCAGCTTGCCGTTGGATCCACCGCCCCAGCTCCAGACAGCGCCGTCGGCGGTGAGGGCGAGGCTGTGCACGAGTGCAGCAGACACAGCAACGACGCGCCGCCCAGCCAAAGCCTCGAGCTTCTTCGGCAGCAGCTGGTTCTGCTGGTTGCCGTGTCCCAGCCGGCCCCCGCCTCCCCAGCCCCAGCTCCAAACGGCGCCGCTGCCGGTGAGAGCGAGGCTGTGCTCGCGTCCAGCCGAGACTGTGATGATGCGCTGCTCAGCAAAGGCCTCGACCTTCTTCGGCAGCATCTGGTTGTGCTGGTCGTCGTGGCCCAGCCGGCCAAAGCCTCCTGAGCCCCAGCTCCAGACGGCACCGTCGGCGGTGAGGGCGATGCTGTGACGCTCTCCTGCCGACACAGCGACGACGCGCTGGCCAGCCAAGGCCTCGGTCTTCTTCGGCAGCAGCTGGGCCTGCTGGTTGCCGTGGCCCAGCCGGCCGTCGCCTCCCCAGCCCCAGCTCCAAACGGCGCCGTCGGCGGTAAGGGCGAGGCTGTGCAGATTTCCAGCCGACACAGCGACGACGCGCTGGCCAGCAAAGGCCTCGACCTTCTTCGGTTGCCACTGGTGTCGGTCGTCGCCGTGGCCCAGCGCGCCCAAGCTTCCCATGCCCCAGCTCCAGACGGCTCCATCAGCAGTGAGGGCGAGGCTGTGCGCGGCTCCCGCCGACACGCTCACGACGCGCTCGACACCCAGCGTCGACGGGAGGCGCGTCGGCGTCTTGAGCCGCGTCACGCCCTCGCCGTGGCCGAGCAGCCCTGGGGCCTGGCCTGCCTCACTGCCGCACGACGAGAGCCGCCCCTCGCCGTCGATGAAGACGCTGTGCCACTGGCCTGCCGCAACCCTCGCCGGCGGGTTGGACTCGCGCAGCAGCGCAGAACAGCACAGCCACCGCACGGCACAGTCCTCACCCTCTGGCAGCGCCGGCAGCTCGAAGTCGCGCTCTCGCGCCCACAAGCGGATGCCCTCCAGCGCAAGCGAGGCGTGGAAGAGCAGCGAGACGGCCGCGACGCGAGCGATGTCGGCGGGGTCGCAGCGAGAGAGGGCGCGCACGAGGAGCTCCGTGGGGAGGTCGAGGAGGCGGGTGGGCGGCGGCATGCTTGGCGAGGGAGCGGCGGTGGCGGAGGAGGCGAGTCGGCGCGAGCGGCGGCGCGGCGAGTTTAGACATCGCGAGGAAAAGAATTTTACGACCCACACCCTCGCACAACACTGGGCACGGGACTGGCGCGCACTGGCACTAACACAGGTACACCAAAGAAATCAAGTTAGAGAGCACAACAGGAACTTCCTTTTTGCGAAGAGAGATAGGAAGAGGCAGACTCCCTAGGGTGGGCGACGGCTAGCGCATCACACACCTCTCCTTAAAATCCCTGTGTGGTGGCGGCGTGCCGTCCTCCCATCCCTCCCTTGGGTTGTCTGTTTTCTTTCTTTCTTTCTTTACTTCCTTTTTGCGGACGCCCAAGGGTGGGCGACGGCTAGCGCACCACACCCCTCTCCTTAAAATCCCTGTGTGGTGGCGGCGTGCCGTTCTCCCATCCCTCCCTTGGGGTGTCTGGTTTCTTTCCTTTTTTACTTCCTTTTTGCGCCTCTGAAGTCTGATCTGCATGCGTGTGAAGTGTGTGAGCGTGAGCCGCAGCTGCCCCAGACCTACCGGCGGCTACCGGGACTGTCCGGCCGTCGCCATTATCGATCGCGTTGCTTGATCTATCCCCATGGACCATGGTCCATGCAAAAGGCTGCGCCGAGTGCAGCCGAGCTCTTCAAAACATCGCGCCCAGCTTGCCGACGCTGTTCGTGCCGGGCGAGGCCGCCGGCAGCCGCGTCGTGACGACGCGCAGCACCTCGCCCGACGCGTTCCCCGCCGCCTCGCCGGCCTCCGAGGCCGTGCGCGACGGAGAAATCGACGGGGAGCGCTCCCTGCCTCGCCTCCGCAGGCCGAAGAGCAGCTGGTAGAGGTTCGGCCTCGCGTCGCCGGCAGCGGCACGGGCAGTCGCCTGTGCGCGCATCATGTGGTGTATAGTGGTCAGTCTTGAAAGCGAGGCCGTATGGGCGGGCAGGGGTGTGAGGGCGCGGGGTTGCCTCTATTTCCCTCGGCTGGGCGTCGATGCGGACACAGATCCGGTCGGCGACGCCGCACCGGTTGCAGACCGCGCCGAGGGAGAGCAAGAAGGTGAGGACGGCGAAGCAGGTGAAGAGGACCTTCGGGTCGCGCTTGCCCGCGAAGACGCACATCCCCGCGATGTAGAGGTAGAGGGAGGCGATGCTGGCGACGTACCGCGTGGATCGGTAGAGGCGCTGGCACAGGTGCTTCTGCCTCTTCCCCTCTTGCAGCTGCATCATCCACAGGGTGAGCGCGTAGGCGGCGAGCAGCGCGACGTACGAGAGGAGGATAAACTTGTCGTACACGTTCGCGACGGAGACGTTGTTCATGTTGCCTCGCGTCTTGAGGGCAGCCTGGGCGGGAGTCGGGGGGGGGGGGGGGGGGGCTCTAATTTTTGGCCTGGGATACCCGGCGACGGCCCCCTTTGGGGGGGGGGGGAAGGGCGTGGAGAGGGGGGGGTCAGGAACGCTTAAACGGGCGGGTGGGGGAGCAGCTCAGCAGCAACGGGCTCTCTCTCTCTCTCTCTCTCTCTCTCTCTCTCTCTCTCTCTCTCTCTCTCCCTCTCCCTCTCCCTCTCCCTCTCCCTCTCCCTCTCCCTCTCCCTCTCCCTCTCCCTCTCTCTCTCTCCCTCTCCCTCTCCCTCTCCCTCTCCCTCTCCCTCTCCCTCTCCCTCTCTCTCTCTCTCTCTCCTCGTTCGTGCGCTCGGTCTCTTTCCCTCCCGCTCTCTCTGCGCGCGCATGGTAGAGCACGAGCGCGATGAGGGCCGAGTTGAGCAAGTTGAAGCGCGTCTCGAGCCAGGCCTGAAGAACAATAACTCGGCGTGCCAAAAAGAAATCAGGCAGCAGGGTGGTGACACGCGTCTCGAGCCACGCCGGCGTGATGACATAGGACGTGTGCGCGATGATGACGATGAGGAAGGGAGCGACGCACCTGGCTAGCGATGCACCTGGTTAGAGGCGTGTCCAAGGGTGGAGAGCGGTGCCCGGGGGGCCCAGGCCGGGGTGTGGGGGTGGGGGGGAGTTCGACATGGCTTCGTCACGGGGAGGCGCACTCGGACTGGAAGGCGCCGACGCGCGACGCTCGCGCCTCGACGGTGAGCTCGAGCGTGCTCGCGGCGGGCACCCCTCCCATGCAGCCGCACCTACAGAGGAGGCTCGGAGGCGCATTCCGAGGCGAGGCGTTCCACGAGAAAGTCCTAATCAGCACGCCGCAGATATGGGGAGATATGGGGAGATATGGGGAGATGTGGGGAGATGTGGGGAGATGTGGGGAGATATGGGGAGATAGCGGCCGCACGTCTCGAGGTCGAGGCCGCTCGCCGGGTCGAAGCCGGGCACCTATGGGGGGCGGTTCCGAGATGCCGTGTCCCGCGCGAGAACGGGCCGACGGCCGCTCCGCTTGCTCGAAGCTACCCAGGCAACATCTCATGGGCCACGAGACGGGTATCTGGTACGGGCGATGAAGTACGTGGCCCCGCTCGCTTGAGCCGCTCGCTTGACTTCAGGCTGCGCTGCGCTACGACTACTAGGCACCGTCTCGCACGCGCACTCCTCCTCCGCGTCGTAGCGAAACACGTGCGGCACCGTCAGCCACCTGTGCCCGGGGGACGTGCCGCAGCCGAGGGGCTATCAGCCGAGATGCGACGCGACCGAGCCGAGATGCGACGCCGGCAGCCGCACCCCACGCTCCACGACGCGTCGTTAGGGCTCTGGCGGCAGACTCGCTCTGGGCGCTGGTAGGGCGCCTCGCACACGCGCCGCACCGAGCTCGCGAGCCGCAGGCGGCGGTTGTTGGTCGTGCCTGAAAGAGGAATGCGTCAGAGGAGGATACCGTCTCGGGTGAAGGGTCTGCGAAGAGTCTCGCCGCTGCAGGAGGTGGGGTGGGGCGCGTGCCGGGCCAGTCCGCGTGCGGGTCAATCGCGCTGTACTCGGGCATCGAGCAGAGCAGCACCTCCAGCGCCTCTCCGCTCGCGTCGGTGAGTGCCGCCGGCACCTGCAGCCGGTGGCAGGCGGCATTGGCGACGCTCAAACGCCGCGCTCTCACTGCGCTCTCTCCGATCTGCATCTGCGCACGCCTGTAGCCGGAAGCGGAAGTGCTCCGTCTCGAACGGGTAGGCAGTCACGTTCGGCCGAAAGTGGAATCTCGACTGGACCCTGAAGCGGCCGGCGCCGAGGAAGTCGGTGGTTCGTAGCCGCTCCGAGTTGGGCAGCGTGAGGCCGCGGTCGTGAGAGAGGAGCTGCTCGTCAGTCGGCTTCCACGGTATCCAGTGCCGGAGTTGGCGGCACTCTCGCATTGCAGGGTCGGCCCAGATGTGCGGTTGGTGCGCGAACACCAAACCATGCTCGTCCGTCTCGACATGCGCTTCGAGCATGATGTCGAGCGGCACGAGACCCTCCTTGACGGAGTGGCCGCCAATGTGCGTAACGGTGGTGCCAATGCCAATCCTAGCGACGCGGCGAGCGCTGAATGGCAGCGCGACGGTGGCCGTGATCATCGCCGCCGCGCTCATCGCTTGCGAGCCGCCGATGCAGAAAAAGCTCCAGAGTGGGGGGGGGGGATGCAGTTACTAAAAATAATAAACAAAACAGCCAACCAACAAATTCTCTGGCCTCAGCTGAGATTGTGAGAAGGCGAGGCGCCGACGGGTGATGGGAGCGAGACCGAACGGCCGGGCATGCCCCCGCATGGACCTCCCCTTTCCCCGAGTGTTTCGTGGCATGGTAACTTGTTCGCACATGCCACCTTCGATGTATGAAGTCAAGCTCTGGACGCCCCTCCTCAAGACCTCCTCGGCGGGCGTTGGCAACGCCTCGAGCGGCGGCACGCCCGCCTCCGTTGGCCACTCCTACGCCTTTGGCAACACCGAAGAGAAGGCCCGCCGCCTAAACATGGGCTGCAAGGCGCGCGGGCAGCCCGGCCAACCCTTCTCCCACAAGACCGGCCACGGCTACGTCAAGGCGCATCGCGGTTTCTACCACGACGCGATCTTTGTCAAGCGCAACAACTTCAACCTGCTGCTCCACGAGACGTTCGGCGGCGGCTTCTCGCCCACCGCCGTTCTCAAGCTGCGCCGCCTCGCGCGCAAAGCCGCGCGCGGCAGCGTCGACCGCACGGCCTACTCGCCCAAGTACTCGCTTTCTTTTATGTCCCACCATGCAGAGCGCATCTCTCTCTCTGTTGTGCGAGGCGTGAACCGCGCCATTCGCTCTCACCTGGCAACCCTGTCTGCACGTCTCGCGCGCGCGTGAACAGGGCTCCAGGCCCCCAATGACGTGTGAGTGTTAGAGTTGTTTGGTATTGCACCTTCGTGCGCTGTTACCTGTTTGTTGCACACCCCATCTCCCCCCGCCTCCCCCCAGAGAACGTATAGCCAGTGCAGACAGGGTATGGGCGATATATTCGGCAATTCGCCATAGGGCAAGTGGCGACGCGAGAGAGAGAGTTCTCTTCTTGCGACGCGTGGGCTCGCACGTATAGCTACGGTATGGGCGCTATATTCGGCAATTCTTCCTGTGAGAGAGAGTTCTTTTGTTAAATTCTTCCTTTCTGTCTGTTGTGTGAGAGAGAGTTGTTTCACTTCCTTTGAGAGAGTTGTTAAAGGAAGAGAGAGTTGTTAAATTCTTGTTTCTGGGTACCTGTGTTAGTGCCAGTGCGCGCCAGTCCCGTGCCCAGTGTTGTGCGATTGAGTTCCCTTGTAAAATTCTTTTTCACACGTGCCCAGTGTTATGCGAGGGATTTTTATGGGAAAATTCTTTTCATGTAAAATTCTTTTTCATCAACATGGCGCTCTCACGCTGTTTCGCGGTAACTTGGCCTCACCGGCACCGTACCTTTTACATGCTGCCACTCCTGCTTCCGCTGCTTCATGGCTCGGACCAGCCGGTTCTTCGCGGCCCGGCGAGCTGCACTGCACGTCCGCTCCCTCAGCTGTGCAGCGACGGTAAGTGTCATCCCGACAACGAGAACTGCCCGCCGGTCACGACTGACAGCACCTGCGGCGAGGTCCCGCACTCCGGCCGCGACGGCCGCGTGCTCACGTGGGGACTGAGCTTCCGAACGGACAGCGCCCAGGAGTGCTGCGACCGGTGCAAGTGCGGCTATGTTTGCCGATGCTGGGCACACCTCTGCCCGCTCTTCCGCTCACCGTGCCTCTCTCCCTCCCAGGTCCCACCCAAAGAAGTGCAACTCGTGGACCTTTTGCGGCCTACCCGTGTGCTGGGGACTCGACACGGGCCACAACCACACCTACGGCGAGTGCTGGCTGCGACGGCTGAGTGGCGATGTGCAGGCGATAGACACCTTTCGCCAGCGTGGCAAGTACACAGAGCAGTGGCTCAGCCAGCACCGGAAGGCGCGGCCGGGCTGCAAGCGCAACGAGCCGTGGGCGTGTTCCCCGACGCACGTGCCGTGGACATCCGGCGCGCTCGGCGGCCTGCCTTTCGACCCCACCGAGCGCTACGTCACTGGCGGCGGCTGGGGCAAGGTCGTTGTGAAGACCGAGGCCGAGCACCTCGCCTCAACCTCAAGAGGCGCGGCTGCCGCGAGGAGAGGGAGGCATCGGCAGTCGCGGTGACGGCACTGCCATGGCCCATGCGGGCGCAGGCGGGCATTTGGTTTTGGTTCGGGGGGTTTGGTTTCTCGGTTGGACAGCTCGAGGGAAGGATGGGAAAATCCCTCTGCAGATTCCTGGTTTTTTTGGACCCTTGAATGGGTGGCTGTACTTCGCTGAGCCCACGGCCACGGAGCTGGCCTTGCCATACCGTCCGCCTTGCGAGCGTGCGCTCACGCACGATCCTGGGCTCGTGCTTGCACGCGGTCGCAGCGTCATCAAGGCTCCATGCCACGACAGGACCGGCCATGCCGGGTGTGGCGTCCTCGCAACACATCTGGAGAGGTGGGCAAGGCCTCTGAGGAGGCGTGCGGCGTGCTGACGGTGAGCAACAAGATCGCTCCCGCGGCGATAAGAGGCGTGTGCGCGGCGGCAAGGCCTGCGATCAAGTGGGAGCGCTCGCCCACGGCCTCTTGCGTCAGCAACGCGTGACTCTGCGCGACGGCGCGCGAGCGGCCTGGGTGCGCATGCGCGCCGCCCGCGCGAAGATCGGCGCGGCGGTGCGGAGCGCGTGGAGGTGTAGGTCTCTGCTCGCGCGTCACCTCGAGTCCCTTCCCACTGCTTGATCCAACCCTTGGCCCTCTGATATCCAGTGCAGCACATGTACTCTCGGTGTGTGTGCTGTGGGCCCTCCTTGTCTCTGCAATAGACCGTGTTAGGTAACACCTACCACCTGCGCTTGGGATTTTTTTGTATTAGAAGCCGGCGTCCGCGCTTTGCCTGTTGTGTGAATGTCAGCAGGATGTTTTCTTATTTTTTCTGATCGCGCGAAAAAATGGCCAAACGCTCGCGCGACAGCTCCGCCGCCTCCTCCTCCGGCTCCCGCTTTGCAGAGTGCCCGTGCTGCAAGCGCTCCGTCGCGCTCCACTTCATCAACGAGCACCTAGACAGGTGCGCAGCCGCGCCGCCGCCAGCCACGCCGCAGCGACGGCCGCCCTCCGCAACTGCTGAGCAGCCACGGCCGCCCTCCGCAACTGCTGAGCAGCCACGGCCGCCCTCTGTGGCCGCTGCCGTGCCGGCGGCGCCTCCTCCGCTGAGCTTTGGCTCTTCCGCCTCGCCGCGGCTCAACTTTGGCTCGCCGGCCTCGCCGCTGCTCAGCACGCCCATCGCCCGCGCCTTTGGCGCCGGCGCGCCGGCCTCCGCGTCGCCGGCGCGGCCGCTCGTGCTGGCAAGGGCACCCTTCATGCCGCAGCACAGCAGCCGGCTCGGCGGCGATACGCATCCTGGCGCGGGCAGCAACCTCAGCTGCGACCCGCGCCGCCGAAATGCGTGGCTGGGAGAGCGTGCGGGGCCTGCGAGCAGGGCGCCCGGCGCCGCCATTGCCGCCGTCGCCCGCGGCTTGCTCGACCCTGGCGAGGGGCTGAGAGCGCTCCTCGATCCCGCCGACGTGCGCCTCGTCGCGGCGATCGCCGCCCTCCACGACGACGGCGCGCCCGCCGCGGCGCTCGATGCGGTCGCGCGCTGCTTCGCCGCGCCGGGCGAGTGGCAATTGCTGCTTCGCCCTGGCAGCGAGCACGCAGCAGCGGGCGAAGGCGACGAGAGTTGCGCCCGCGCGGCGGCGGCTCGGGCGGCGGAGGCGGCGGCCGCGGCGGCGGCGGCGGCGGGCCTGATCGAGGTGCTGGATGCGCGCTCTCCGCTGCCCACGCCCCTTTCCCAGCTGGCCGCGCCCCTCTCGCAGCTGTCGGCGCGCGCCCTGCGCCGCGTCTTTGAGGAGGTGCGCCTCGACGCGCCTCCCGCCTCCGCCTCCGCCACTCGCGAGCTTCTCGCGGAGCGGCTCTGCGCCCTCCTCGGCCGGCGGAGGGGCGACGCCTTCAAGACGCCGCTGCTTCGCGCCCTCTGCCCGTGCGCCCGCATGAGGCCGAGCGTCGCGGCCGCGCTGCACCGTGGCAGCATCCTCTTTTTCGGCGCGGCGGGCTACGCGCCCGACGAGGCGGCCGCCATGCTGCGCGGCGGCGCAGGCCTGAGCCCATCGGCGCGGTTCGGCGCGGCGGCGGCGCTCGCGGCGGCAGCCGAGGCCCGCACGCCCCGCTTTGCATCGCCGCTCGCGCTGCGCCGCTACGCCGCCGCGCTGCAGCTCTCGGCGCGCGCCGAAGCTGCGTGCTGCGGCGAGGGCGGCGCGGGGACGGGCGACGCACCCGCGATGCTGGTCGCGCTCGAAGAGGCGCGCTCGCTGCTGCTCGGCGGCGGCGAGGGGCGCTCCCCAGCCTGGTGCGCGGTGCTCGGGCGCGTGATTGCCGCCGGCTGCGCGCAGCTTCGGCGGCAGGGCGAGCACGGCGCGTCGGCGCGCGTGCTGTGCGACACGATCGGGCACTCGATGATGCCGCAGCGGTGGCGCGCGGCCCTTTTTGTGCAGTGCGTCAAGGACCTCGACAGGGCCGGGCAGCAAGAAAGGGCTTGCCGGTTGTGCGAGGCTGCGCACACCTCGCACCTGGATGCCAACGGCCACCTCTCGAGCTCAAGCGTCGCTTCGATCCTCGAGTCGAGCGGCGGCGGGAGCAGTACAGAGGCGTTACAACTGGGAGCCGTGCAGCTGATGGCCGTCCGCCGCGTGCTCAAGAAGCTCGCCGTGCCGCCCCGCCGCTGGAAGAAGCCCGCCCTCCCGTCGCTCGCCGCGCCGCGGGAGGTGCACCTCCGCGGCGACGAGGTGCTGGATGGCGGCGACGCGGGGCGGAGGCTGGGCTGGCGGGCGGCCGACGGGTCGATCGCGCGCGGCGTGGAGGAGTACGTGCGGCTGCACTACCTGTCCGGCGCGGGCGGCACTCCTTGGTCAAAAGGAGTGCACCTCGAGAACGCGCTCTTCCTCTCCCTGTTCGCCCTGCTGATGTGGGACGCATTGTTCGCACCGCTCCCCGGCGCCTTTGGCTCGAGCTCCTCAGACGCGCCCGACGATCTGCTCTCCGGCTGCGGCTCCTTTGCGAGCCGCCGTGCTGACATTGTTGGCGCGCTGCTGAAGCGAATCGAGAGCGCGGCGCCCGACGAGCAGCTTGACGGGACCGTGCCCCAGGACACTCCTGTCGCTTCGCCACGAGCCCACCTCTCTCTCTCGGCTCGCCTGGCCGCCGCCCACGCAGCCCACTACGGCGAGGAGTGCATCGGCCTCGACTGGTCGCGCTTGGACCTGCCGCTGCTCCAGTGGACGGCCACCGCGCTCGGCGGGCGGGTTGTCGCTGCCATTTGCCGCGCGCTCGCCGACGACTACGGGGGCTTCAGCCATGGCGCGCCAGACCTGCTGCTCCTCGCGGACCGGCCGTCGGCTGCCGCGCGTTTCGTGGAGGTCAAGGGGCCGAATGACCGCCTGAGCGACTCGCAGGTCGCTTGGTGCGACGTGCTGGCGCGTGCTGGGGCGGACGTTGAAGTTGCTTACGTCGAGCGTTGTGTATAGCCGCGCGCCACTAGAGGGCTGTATGGAGTATCGGGACACTATGGTGCCCCACACACAAAATACGTACACTGATACACATATGCTGAAATCACACAAAGTGACAAGAAAACGACGGCGCAAGCCCGGTTTCACATTGATAGAGCGCGCAAGTCCTCGCTCAGACCGTCTCAACAGACCTCGTCACACTCCGAACTGGTCGTGTAGAATAGTCTATGCCGCTGTCGAGGGGCGCGACCCGCGCGCCTGCGACCACGCTCTGTGCTCCCGCACCTGCTCCTCGGAGAGGGAGGGGCGCACACTCGCGAGGGCCGTCTCAAAGTCGGCGCGCGAGAGCATCGCCGCGCCGCTTCCGGCGCCGCTCTCGTCCTCGCGCCGCAGCGCCCCGAGGGCGGCCTTTTGGCAGAGGGAGAGGAGGTCGGCGCCGGTGAAGCGCGGGGTCGCAGCCGCGAGGGACTCCGCGTCGATCGGCTCCGCGAGCGGCATGCGCCGCAGCTGGCGCGCCAAGATGTCACGCCGCGCGCGCCGGCCCGGAGGCGGGACAAAGAAGAGGTGCTCGAGCCGTCCCGGCCGCAGCAACGCCTCGTCGAGGGCGGCCGGCGTGTTTGTCGCGCCCGCGAGCACCACGGCGCCGCCGAGCCCTCCCGCGGCCGCGTCGGCGTCGGCCTCGGCCTGCACGGCGTCCATCTCGAGCAGCAGCTGCGAGAGGAGGAGGCGAGACACCTGCCCGCCGCCGCCGCCGCCGCCGCCGCCGCCTCGCCGGCCAAAGAGCGCCTGCGGTTCGTCGAGGGGGGCGACGTCGGAGGAGAGCGGAGAGGGCAGGGAGGAGCAGGGCTGAGGCGGCCTGCAGCTCGTCCAGAAAGACGAGGCAGGGCCGGTGCGCGCGTGCGTGCTCGAAGAGCGCCGCAAGCGCCCTCTCCGACGCGCCCACCGCCGGACGAATGAGCTGCGGGATCGGGACCGCGAGCAAGTTGAGGCGCGACTCCGCGGCGAGTGCTCGCACCAGCATCGTCTTGCCGGTGCCGGGCGGGCCGTAGAGCAGCAGCCCGCGAGGGCCGCCGAGGCCGAGCCTCGCGCAGAGCTGCGGCGCGGCGAGCGGCCACTGCACGAGTTGCTTCAGGCGCGCCTTGGAGGGGAGGGACGGCTGCGTCAGAGGCGTCGAGGAGCCACCGGCCCCCACGACCGGCACGCGCTACTCCACCGCAGGCGGCGGCGCCTTTGTGCGAGCGAGTCCGCCCACGTCCCGCCAGCGAGCGCCTCCCAGCGACTCGCGCGCCGTGCCCAAGCCAAGCAGCGAGGCGGGCTCCACCAGCCTGGCAGCGGCCCGCCACTCCTCCTCCGCCACCGCGAGGAGCGGAGCACCCTCCCCAGCGCCCCCCTCCTCCGCCCCCTCCTCTGACCCCTCCTCGCCGTGCGGCGGCGGCCGCTGCAGCGCGAGCAGTCGCGCCTCCTCGCAGACTGCGGCCAAGTCGGACGCTACGAACCCGTGGAACGAACTGGCCAAATCCGCGGCGAGGGGCGGCGGCGGCGGCGCCAGCCCGGCGGCGGAGGCTGCGGAGGCGAGCGCCCGCGCGCGGCCAAGCCCGACTGGCGGCGCTACGGCGAGCTGCAAGGGGCAGCGCGAACGCACCTACGGCAGACGCGAGAGGGGCCTCTGAGAAGGGGCGGCGCGGAGCGGAAGGCGGTTCGAACCCGCCGTGTCTCCTGCGCATGCACGTCGCGCGCAAACACCGCGGTGAGCACAAGCAGCACGCCTACCAGAGCGCGGAGAGGCGCCAGCTTCGGTTCCCTCCTCCTGCGGAGGCGCCGAGGGCCGAGGGCCGCTGGTGCGCTCGAGGCGCGCGCGCGCACGCGCACGCGCCTTGCACCCGCGATGCGGCACGCAGCGCGTCGAGCAGCGCGAGCCGCGCCGCCGCGCCACTGCCGCCCTCCTCCTCGGAGCCTGCGGCGGGGGCCAGCTCCTCGGCCGACTCGATGAGCAGCACGCAGGGCGCGGAGCGGCCGGCGGCAGAGAGGGCGAGCCGAAACCCGTCCGAGATGGCGTCGCCGTGCTGGCGGGAGCTGCAGCGGGAGGAGAGGGGAGCGCGTCGCTCGGGGCCGCGCGGGCGTGGGGCGGCCGGCGAGGGCAGGGGCGGGCGCACAGCTCGTGCGGCGACACTTCCAGCAGCAGCAGTCCGAGCGAGCGGCAGAGCCTCCGCACGAGTGTCGTCTTTCCGACGCCGCGCGAGCCCGCGAGGAGCACCGGCGACGCGCTTGCGGCCAGCTCGGCGCCGTCGCCCCCCATGGACGCCGGGACGCCACACCGACTGCCGGCCGGACTCGCGGTGGCGCCTCCGGCACCAGCGCCGGTGGCGCCCGCCTCGACGACCCCGTGCAAAAAGAGCAGAAGGCGCGAGACGCCAGAGCAAGCGCCGCCTGCCGCTGTGGCCTCCGCACCGGCGCACGCGACGAGCCGCACCGGCGTCGACTCGCCAACCCAGCCCCAGCTCTCCTCCTCCTCGCCGCCGGCGGCGCCGCCCGCCTCGTCGCCGCTCGGCGCCACTGCAGAGGCGATGCAGCAGACGGCTCTCTGCGAGGCCTGCGCCCGGAGAGTGAGCGGAGTCCGCCGGTGGACGAGGGCGCCGTGGCCGAGGCAATCCGAGCGCCACGGGTGGATGCGCCCTCCCCCGGGCGGCGCCACGACACCGAGCGCCGCACGCACATCCGTCGCGGTCGGAAGCGCGAGCGGTGACCGCCAGTCCTGCGCCTCAACCGCGCTGACGTGAACCTCTGCCCACAAGCGAACCTCGGCTGCGCGGACGAGCTCCACCTCAACCAGGTCGCCCTCTTGCAGCTGGGCGCGATCGAGGGCGTCGCGGCCGAGCCAGATGGCGGGAGATGAGCCGTCGGCAGCCGCCGGAGCTCCGCCACCGCTGTCGCCAGTCCGCCGCACCTCGAGCTTGACGAGCACGGCCGAGGAGGCGCGTGGCGTCGAGCTCTTCCGCAAACGCACAAAGTCACACGGCGTGCCGCCCAGCGAGAGCAGGGCCGACAGGCACACCTGGGCGCGCCAGCCGTCGAGGTCGGCGGACGCGGCGACCGAATGCATTGCTTCGCAAGCACTCCGCCAGGTTTGTTGTCGCGCGAAGCTGTCGCAAAAAAGATTTTAGACTCACGCGTTTTAAAAGGGAGAGAACGACGAGAGTGGGACGACCGCGAGGTGGCATGAAGGTTGCAGCGAGAATCGGAGAGAGACTGCGAAGAGAGATAGGAAGAGGCAGACTCCGGTGGGCGACGGCTAGCGCACCACACACCTCTCCTTAAAATCCCTGTGTGGGAGAGATTTTTAGCAATACCAAACAAATCTAACACTCACACGTCATTTGGGGCCTGGAGGCCTGTTCACGCGCGCGCGAGACGTGCAGACAGGGTTGCCAGGTGAGAGCGAATGGCGCGGTTCACGCCTCGCACAACAGAGAGAGAGATGCGCTCTGCATGGTGGGACATAAAAGAGAGCGAGTACTTGGGCGAGTAGGCCGTGCGGTCGACGCTGCCGCGCGCGACTTTGCGCGCGAGGCGGCGCAGCTTGAGAACAGCGGTGGGCGAGAAGCCGCCGCCGAACGTCTCGTGGAGCAGCAGGTTGAAGTTGTTGCCGCTTGACTTTGTTTGTTTTGTCTGTGTGGTGGCGGCGTGCCGTCCTCCCATCCCTCCCTTGGGTTGTCTGTTTTCGTTCTTTCTCTTTCTTTAGTGCCAGTGCGCGCCAGTCCCGTGCCCAGTGTTGTGCGACGGAATTGCTTTCAAGGTACACCGTTGTGCGAAAAAAGAATTTTGCGGGCGTCCAACCCACCAAGTACCGCGCACCGGACACTGGTACGGGACTGGCGCGCACTGGCACTAACACAGGTACACCACGCGAAAAGAATGCGGTATTTAGACCACCAGCTTACCTCCCGCCCCCCGCCTGCCCGTGCAGGACGGCCACCTGGTGCGACGCAAGCGGCGCGGGCTTCGCCTCGTCCCAGCCGAGCGACCTCGTCGCCGGCGGCAGCGGCGGTATGGCCGCCGCGGCGAGGTACGCCGTCAGCTCGTCGCGCTGCGAGCGCACGCCGGCGTACCACTCCGCCCACCGCTCCGGCTCCTCGAGCGGCGGCTCCTCGAGGCGGTAGACGATTTGCGGCAGCCGCTCGCCGTCCTCCTCCGCCTCCTCCCGCTCGATGAAGCCGAGGGCGAGGAGCACCTCGACCCCGCCCGCGTGCCGCGCGACGGCCTGCTGGAACGTCTCGTTGAGCAGCCGCACGCCGCGGAAGCGCGCGTCCTCCGGATAGGCCAGCGCGTTGCTGCAGAGCAAGTGCAGCGCCTGCACAGCCGACGCCAGCTCGGCCGGCTCGCATGCCGCCGCCAGCGCCGCCAGCGCGTCGGTGAGCGAGAGGCCGAGCCGCGGCGCTGCCGCGGCGCCGCGCCTCGGATCGGCGCCCGCCTCGCCCGCGGCTATCCGCTCCAGCCTCTCCGCCACCCTCCGCCTCTCCTCCGCCTCGGCCGCGGCCGCCTCCGCCGCCGCGTCGGCGGCCGCGCGCGAGCGCGCATCGTCCGCCGCGGCCTGCGCCCTCGCCGCCGCCTGCGCCGCCGCCTGCGCCTCCTCCTCCTCCCGCTGCTGCTCTGCTCGCCGCTCGCCGCTCCTCTGCCGCCGCAGCGGCGCCAGAGAATCGCTGAGCTCGTCCGCAGCCTCTGCCGCATCGGCGAGTCGTCCCGCGACCGCGAGCACCCGCTCCGCCATCTTTGGGCCGTAGACCTTCTTGTCCGGGTCCTTCTCGAGCGCCCGCTTCTCAAACACGCCCACCCGCGGCGTGAGCTCTTCGAGCGCCGACACCGCCGCGTCGAGCGCGTCTAGCGGAGCGTACGGCGACGCGGCGGGCGCGGGCGCCGACGCACGCTCCAGAAACTGCTCAGCCTCGTCGAGGCGGGCGACCAGGGTCTTGAACTCGGCCATGGCGGGGATTGTGGGATGCTGCGCTTTGCGCGCGAGCCGCCGGACGACCCACAGGGGCCGCTCTCTCTTGGCCGCAATAAAGAATTTTACAACAAAACTCCCTCGCACGACACTGGGCACAGGACTGGGCACGGGACTGGCTCGCACTGGCACTAACACAGGTACACCACGGGAGCCGCCTAAGCGACTCCTGCGAGGGTGGCGAGGCACTTAGCTCCGTGCACCCGCCCACCCCCGCCACAGGCAAGCTCATTCACAATCTGCTCTGCGATTGCCGTGTGAAGAACGACTGAGATGCGCTGCTTCTGCAGCCCCAGCCAGCTCTTGGTGGTCCAAGTCACCTCATCGAGGTACTGGGCCCGCGTCAGCTTGTTCTGTAGTACGTCCGCCGCCTTCCTGAGGATCTCACGGACCCCCTTTCCGAACCCGCCGAACGATTCGAACAGCAGCAGCTGCACTTCGACGCCCTTGTCTTCCCTGGCGTAGCGATAGTCCCCGCCGTAGGACGGTATGCGGCGGTCGCCGCCCACCACCCTGCCCCCCCTGGTATGCCAGCGCCCGGTCCCTTGCCCTCTCTCGCCCTTGCTCTTCCTCTCCCCCTCCATGCCGCCCCCCCCGTACCCCTCCCCCCCCCCCTCCTCCTCTCCCCCCCCCTCCCCCTCCCCCCCCCCCCCCTTCCCCCCCTCCCCCTCCTCGCAGTAGGGCCCATGCCCCTCGACCATGTTCCGGTAGAATGATTCAGTGTTGCCGAAAGCGACAAAAGCGCCCTTCCGACCGTGCTCCCCGCTGCTGCTGAGGGGACACGAGCCGCGGGCGTGTCCCTCCGATCTCCGGGAGGGTACGCACACAGCACCTCGGGGATCTGAGGAACGCCCGGGGCGCCGTCATTGATGATCTCGCACACGGGCCCCTCGTCGTCGTCCGCCGGGGGCTCCTCGCCGCCGCTGTCCATCGCCGCGCGCCGCACGCGACGTAGCCCCCAGCGCAGCTCGCGGCAGCGCCGCAAGAATGAAGGGTGGAGTCGTCCCGGATGCTCTCAGAGAGGCTGATACCGGTACGACAAAGACAACAATGGAACGGCGGTGCCTCGCAGGAGGAGCAGTGGCGGCAGCGGGGGACGGAGACGGCAGAGGCAGGGGCGGCGGCAGCGGAGGTGGGGGCGGCGGAGGCAGAGGCAGAGGCGGAGGCACAGATGGTGGGCTGCTGCGCGGGCTGCTGCTCGGGCTGCTGTGCGGGCTGCTGCTCGGGCTGCTGCTCGGGCTGCTGATCGGGCTGCTGCTCGGGCTGCTGCTCGGGCTGCTGCTCGGGCTGCTGCTCGGGCTGCTGCTCGGGCTGCTGCGAGGGCTGCTGCGAGGGCCCCTGCTCGGGCTGCTGCTGCTGTGAGGGCTGCTGTGAGGGCTGCTGCGAGGGCTGCTCTCGGGCTGCTGCTCGGGCTGCTGCTCGGGCTGCTGCTCGGGCTGCTGCTCGGGCTGCTGCTCGGGCTGCTGCTCGGGCTGCTGCTCGGGCTGCTGCGAGGGCTGCTGCGAGGGCTCCTGCTCGGGCTGCTGCTGCTGTGAGGGCTGCTGTGAGGGCTGCTGTGAGGGCTGCTGCGAGGGCTGCTGCTCGGGCTGCTGCTCGGGCTGCTGCTCGGGCTGCTGCTCGGGCTGCTGCTCGGGCTGCTGCACGGGCTGCTGCGAGGCGAGCCTTGTGCCTGGAGGCCGGGCCGTGGCAGCAGCAGGAGGCTCGGGGACCAGGCTGTCGCGTCGCAGCGGCCGGCCGGGAGAGCTCTGTTGGGGTTGGCGCTGGTCTAGGGCACCAGAGCGTCGTCCATCAGAGCGTGGCCCACCGGCCGGCAGCGCGTGTACCGAGCTGAAGTCCATGCGACCGGTGCCTTCGGCAGCGGCCGCGGGCGGCTGCAGCCGCTGAGGATCTCCAGGTCGGCTCCCACGGTGGCTGCCGCCAAGGGCAGCAACCATCGTGGGGACGCGCGAAACTTGTCTAAGAGAATTTTCTTCGAACTCCCTCGCACAACACTGGGCGCATGACGAGCGAGGGCAGCCTCCTTAAAGGCGAAAGGGTCTAGATTTGGGGCGCTCGCCGAAGAGGAGTACGACAACATAGCGCCCGTGATTGCCTGCACGCTACCCGCACTCACGGACTCCATACCCGAAAGAAAGAGAAGGGAGCTCGCGGGAGAGGTGACGAGCGAACTACAGGTAGTGGGGAAGGCAGCCTCGATTGCCATACAGACATGGGTGCGAAACAACGACAAGACCAAGGCACGGGCAGAGGAACGAGAGAAGAATATAGGGTGGATAAAGCGCCTGTTCACGGCATGGAGGGTGAGCCACACCGAACGTACCGAGCGAAGGGCCGAGCGGAAGGAGGACGGGGAAGATGACTCAGAGGAGGACGAACCAGTGGAAATTCAGTTGTCAGATGTCACGATGCATCCGAAGGGGACCCCAGCGCCGGCATCATCCGTAGAGGCACGAGTGTTCGAAGAGAGAGTGGACCTGAGCAACGATATGACTTGGAGGCAAATGATCGGAGTGGGAGTCAGAAATGTGGTCCTTGCGCGAGGGGAGCTCGATAGACTCGAGGGGCCAGGATACGCCGCGAGGAGGACGGAGTTGCGCCGAAAGGCGAAAGAAGCCGCGAGAACAAGGGACCGGCAGGCGGCGGCGACGCAGGACGAGACAGAAGAGAACGACGCGACAGAGGAGGAAGTGACAAGGGAGAGAGCGACGAGAGTGGGACGGCCGCGAGGTGGCACGAAGGTTGAAGCGAGAATCGGAGAGAGACTGCGAAGAGAGATAGGAAGAGGCAGACTCCCTAGGGTAGGCGACGGCTAGCGCATCTCACACTCCTCTCCTTAAAATCCCTGTGTGGTGGCGGCGTGCCGTTCTCCCATCCCTCCCTTGGGTTGTCTGTTTTCTTTCTTTCTTTCTTACTGGGCGCATGAAGGTCGCTGCAAGAATTGGTGATAAACTGCGGAGAGAGATAGGAAGTGGTAGACGCCCGAGGGTAGGCGACGGCTAACACCACACTTCTCCCCTAAAATCCCTGTGTGGGAGAGAGATTTTTGGCAATACCAAACAAGGCGGCGTACCGTCCTCCCATCCCTCTCCCTTGGGTTGTCTGTTTTCTTTCTTTCTTTCTTACACTGGGCACGGGACTGGCGCGCACTGGCACTAACACAGGTACTTTTAAAGGCAGCTCGGTTGTCGTCCTCCCATCCCTCCCATCCCTCCCCTGGTTGTGCGTTTTATTTCTTTTCTTTTTCCTCCCATCCCTCCCTTGGGTTGTGTGTTTTATTTCTTTCTTTCTTTCTGTTTTCTTTCTTTCTTTTAGGCACCGGACTGGCGCGCGCTGGCAATAAAGAAGTAAATAAAGCTAAAGGTACAGATGTGCGCTGTCGTGAAGTGGCGAATGCCCGGCTGGGCCCAAACAGACAAGAGACAACCCAAGGGATGGACCTGTTGCACGCCAACCGTGAACCACCCACGGACAGCTCAAAATCGCTGTGCGCGGCCGGCGGCTTGAGCGCGCGCCCTAAGGCCTTCATGTCGCACCCGAGCGTCTCAGCGCCATCCCTGGGCCCTGCGGCAGCGGACCGGAGCGGTTGAAGGCGACTTGTATGACGACCCGCCTGCGTCACCGCTGCCCCCGCTGCTGCCTCCTGCTCCGCCGTCTCCGCCGTCGCTGCCACCGCTGCCGCCGCCATCGTATCACCTTGGAAACGATGGGCAGGCATGCGGCTCCGTGTGCTCTGACTTGGGTGGCTCCTGCGATGCCGACATGCCTGAACTCAACGCGACAGAGATTGTGATCGCTTACGCTGAGCATGGAATCTCGTGCACTGCGGTAGCTGGTGGCTGGGGGATCAACCCAACCGTATCCGGATCGACCTGCTACTACAGCCGGAGCGGCAGCAGCTACTCTGGTTGCAACGAATGTCCTGATTGGAACAGCTTTTGCTACTCTGGCTACCGGCTGCTTTGCTATTGTGCCGCCGTACCGTCCGCTCCGCCCGCTCCACCATCGCCGCCGCCTTCCCCGCCTTCCCCGCCGTCTCCGCCACCTTCGCCGCCCTGCCCGCTCACCGGGCCCTACAGTGACATGTACATCGATGTAGAGTACGGTGGCTATTGCTTTCCGGAGGTGAACGCAGCGACTTTGGAAGAAGCAACCGTTGCAGTGATGGCGCAGGAATACTGCAACGGCATCACGTACGAGCCTTACAATTTGCGCTACACGGGCCGTGCTGGCACGAGGCTGTTCGGCTCAAGTGGAAGCAGGTTTATCAGCTGGCTGGTCGAGTGTCCGCTGCCGCCGTCACTCCCACCGCCGGCACTCCCACCGCCGCCGCCGTCGGCGCCGCCGCCACCGCCGCTGTCGCCGCCTCCTCCCGCAACACCGCCTCTGCCACCATCCCCGCCGCCGCTGCCGCCGCTGCCCCCTGTTCGGCCTGGGGAGACTCACGCTGCGACGGAGAATGAGCTTCGGAACCTGATTGCTGAAGCAGTGAGCACGGGCCAGGACGCGGTGATCCTGCTGGCCCCGGGCGCCCACATCAGGTTGGGATCCACGCCGCCGACGCCGCCACCGCCGTCGCCGCCACCGCCATTGTCGCCGCCGCCGCCGCCATTGTCGCCACCGCTGCCGCCGCCTTTTGTGGTCTCTGGGGGCTGCAGCTACCAAACAGGCTTTCTCGGCGGTTTGGAGTACCTCGCCGCCGGCTTCACCGCCTCAGGAGCGCCGTACTATCGCGACGCCTCGTCCTCGCATTACATCTACTGGGATCCTTCTTGCAATGGTGGCGGTGAACGTTCCACATGGCTTTTTCAATCTATTGCTCCGAGCACCACTGAATGGAACGCCCTCGATGGGGCGGGATCCTGCACTGCAGACGCCTACCTTTTCTCTGACGACAGGTCCTCGCCGCCGCTCGGCGCAGGATGGCAGGTTTTTTGTGGCAACTTTGGCACCTTTGTATACACGATTCTGACGCTGGCAGTGCCCTCGCCGTCTCCTCCGCCTCTGCCGCCGTCTCCTCCGCCTCTTCCACCGTCACCGCCCTCGCTGCCGCCTTCTCCGCCGACGCCACCACGCTCGCCGCTGTGCATCAACGCGGTAGCCTTTGACGGGACCGACTTTTACGTCAATGCCAAGGCGCCGGATCACATTGGCGGGAGTCTTGGTCTGACCGTCGCTGCTTGGGTCAAGCGAAGCAGGTCGGGGAACCAGGGGGATCGGCTGATCGATTTTGGTAATGGGGGAGGGTCCGACAACATAGTGGTCGCATTTCAATACGGAGTGGCGTATGATGTCTATCTGGGGTCGACACAGTATTCATTCGCACCCTCTCAAGGCCCGTGCCCGGCTACTCCACCATCCGACAGATGGGTCTGCGGAGCGTTCCCAGTCGACGTGTGGACTCACGTGGCGGTTGTCCACAAGCCGGACGAGACAGTCACGATGTATTGGGACGGCGTACCCAGGGGCTCCGGTTCGTTGCCTCTGCCGCCTGCGGTCGCACGCTCGGGCTTGTACGTGGGCAAGAGCCACTGGGGGTACGACCCCTACTTTCGAGGCGAGATGCGTGACGTCTTTGTCTTCAACGGCGCCCTCGATGACGGCGAGCTGCGCGAGCTGCGAGAAGGATCGGTGGTGCCCGCACACACGCCAGCGGTGGAGCCTATCGCTCACAGTCAGTGCTTTCCGCCGCTGCCGCCGTATCCGCCTGAGATGGCACCAACGCCGCCTTCGCCGCCGCCGTCCTACCACGGCTGGGAAAGATTCCCTGATGCGGGTTGGTGTAAGAGCAATCTCGACAAAGAGATATGCGATGAGCAGGCTGCCTCGCAGTGCTCCCTTGAGCACTGCATCGACTCTTGCACAGAAATGCATCCGAACACGACGAACGTCGAGTACCACTGCTATCATCCCTTTGACTGCAAGTGCTACTGCCAGTCTGCCTGCGAGTGCATGGAGGATGTGGGCGAAACAAGCACGTGGGCGCGCGTGGGCAAACCCGCGGTAAAACTCCTCAAAGCAGTCCTTGCACTCGAGGCCCCTTCCTCGAGCGTCCTTTGACACGTCCAACGGGTTTATACATGCCGACGGTCATAGTTGAACACACGTCTTCCAGCCGGAAACGATCAGACGCATCGAGTGTGACCGCTGTCTCTCGATGGTCGTCGAAGAAGCAGAATCGCGTCGCGTCGAGCTGAAGCTCCCACGTCTGCGGTGCCTATGATGTGATCGTGACGAGGCGAGTGAGTAGATGAAGATTGCGCGTGTGGTGGATCGAGACACTGGCCGAGGCTGAGGGTTTAAATCGGTGAGAGTGGCGGGGAACGTGAGTGTGACGGCATGGAGCTGGTGCGAGAGCGCAGCAGGGGCGTACGTGTGGCTCGATGTTTGACTGTCAGCGATAGCTACGGTCTGCGAGTGTCGACGAGCGGGTATGCGTGTCATGGTGCGTGTGGGTGCTCGGACACGAAGGCGTCGGCGCTGTGAATCTGTATGTTGTGGTGAGCGAAGAGGCAGGCGGAAATGTCGGCGGCGGCGTTGAGGGGGACGGCGGCGGCGGCGGTGTCGAATGTGTAGGTGACGTAGCTGGAGATAGTATCGGCAGAGATCTCTCGGAGGTGGCGAGGTCGGCGGTGGCTGAGGCGGTGGCGACGGCGACAGTGGGGGTGTAGTGGGCGCCGACGAGGGCGGTGGCGGAGCCGAGGGCTGTGGAAGCGGCGCATGTACAGAGGCTATCGACGGAGGCATCGAAGGTGGGGCCGAGGGCGTCGGCCGCTCGAGAGCGGTGACGGACGCGTCGGCGGTGGGGAAGGTGGCGGAGGCGACAGCGCCACAGAGGGGCGTGAC